ATTAACTATAAGTTGTGCCGTTTGTTTTTGATAAATAACACCAAAAGCTTGTAAAATTTTTTCTCCAAGATTCATTTTCTCAATTAGTCTTAACATAAATTGCCAATTCAATTGGTCAAAAGCTTTTTCAGCATCTAAAAATATCAATCCTGCAGAAACTTGATTATTTTTGTCTAAATATTCTAATAAATTAATAATTTGTCTGACATTATTCTTCATGTACCTTCCAGTTATAAAACCCGTTTGATCCTTATGTATAACCTGATGCAAAACCCTCATAAGCCTATTAGCTAGGATTTTTGCAAAAACCTTGTAATCTACATTTAGGAGAGATATAGGTCTATAATTCTTTGGTAAAGTAAGGTCTTGGTCTTCTTTTGGGATTAAAGATATAAAGGCTCTACCCCATGACGGGGGAGTCTCTAAACTCTGTAATATATTATTAAAAAGCTCGCTTAAAGGTTGAATCATCTCTTGTGCCAAAGTTTTATAATAAATAGATGTCAAGCCATCCGTATTCGGTGCTTTACCTAATTTTAATTCTTTAATCACTGTCTCAATTTCCTCACTAGTAATCGAGCCATTGATTTCTTGTTTCTGATCTTCTGTTAATTTAGGGAAGTTGGCTTCATTTAAGTAATTATCTATATCTAAAACCTGTACTTTAGTACTCTTATATAATTTTTGATAATAATCTAAAAAAGATTTCTTAATCAACTCCTTCTGATATACCAATTTGCCATTATAATTTATTTTATCTATAATTCTCTGTCTCTGTTTCTTTCTCAATTGGTAAGCCAACCATCTCCCTGGTTTATTAGCATTACAAAATGTATTTTGTTTCATATACAATAAGTTAGTTGCAGTTTGATCAGCCATCAACATATTGAATTGTGATTTAAGCAATTTTATAGATTCTTTAACTTTTTCATCTGTAGGATTTAAAATCAAAGTTTTTTCTTTTAATTTAATCTCATCTTCCAATTCCTTACGTTTCTGAATCTGCTTTTGTTTATGAGCATTATTCATTTGTATCAAAATCCCTCGCATGAAGGCTTTACCTGCATCCCATACCATTGACACTGAAGTTCCCTTATGCATATTTAAAGCAAAATAATCCTTTAACTGCTCCTTTAATTTTTGAACATTCTTTTCTTGTCTAAATAAGTTTTCATTCATCCTCCATGATCTCCTCTCCTCTTTTTCATCAACCAACTCCATCCAAACTATGATCCGTCAATGTCCTAGGAAAAATTTTAACATTCTTTACCCTAAAATATAAATCAGTTGTAATCAAGAAAAAGTCAATTCTTGAAAAGGATTGGTGTCTATCTGAAAAGAAAGTGAAGTCTCTCTCCTCCTGATTGCATTCACGCCAGTAATCTCGCAGCTCCCAGTCCTCTTTCAAATCAAAAAAAGCTTTAGGTAATTTAGCCTGTTTAAAAGAAATGGAAGAACGTTTTTTATCTCTTTGTGTATCTAACACACCATTCCAGTCATCCATTAATATAACAGATCTGTAGTCCAACAAAGTTAATTTCTGGTGTAACAATCTATAAAATTGTTCCTGTTGTTGATTTGGTGCGTACAATCCCACTATAAGTACTTTCTTACCATACAAGCCAACTTCAATCATAACATATCTCCTTTGAAGATCAGATCCTACCAAACAGGCTGATAAATTTCGCTTGACATAAATGACTACACCCCCTTTTTTCCCAGGAGCAAAAGATACAAAATGAGATCCCAAGCGAGCATTAACTAAATATTTTTGATCTTTAGATATAATATGTGTTTCCTGCAAACAGATAATATCATTATTATGTTGCTTTAAATAATGAAAGATTTTCTTTCTTTTCTGGGGGGAATTAAGGCCATTAGCATTCCAAGTCAGGAGCTTTACCATCTCCCTTGATCAGAAGCCTGGAAAAGACTGCTTGAAGGTCTGCCATTGAAGAATGTACTGCAGAACTCTTGGGTCTTGCTCCTCCCACCGGCAACGAAACAATTTCTTGAAGAGATTCTTTAACTTCTTTCTTCTGTTGTTCCTTTTCCTTATGTCTATGCACTGCTCGGATCATTCTTTGCTCTTTGATCTCTGTTTGTCGCGACCACTCCGCCTGTAGCTCTCCAGCCAACATCACACCTAATCCTTCAGACTGCTTTTCCACCTCTTTGCCATCCAAAACTTTCTGCATCATAGATGATGGTGAGCCTGCTCCCAGGACCGAGCTGTAAAACTCCTTTGCTTTAGTAACTGTATTAAGTCTATAACGCGTCCCCGCATGGCTCACAACAATACCCATCGGAATCTCCCATCTGAATGGCATCATTCTTTTTTTCAGCTCGTTAGCTAAAAAAGCGAAATCTTTTCTCTTTCTTAGAAAGAGATGGGATCTCCTTTAAAATAATGACATCTTGAGCAGCAATCTGAAACCTCTTATTATAAAAAGCTTGTATGATTTCATTACGCAGACATTTCTTTGCAAAATAAATCACCACATCTCTTGGTAAATTCTTCTGTTTTGCGACCCAAGAGTTAACTCTGTAAATTTTTTCAACTTCTCTGAATATCTCCTCTTTCTCTCTATTCAAAATAACAGCAAGGTCATTTACCACAATTTCTGTCAGATCTTGATGCATGTCCTCTTTCAGACCTCTGATTCTTAAAGCGTGTTCCATTTCCCTGTACTGAGACATAACAATGTCATCTTGTGAAATTTCCATCTTTTTTTCCATGCCTTCAAACTTATCTTCCAGAATATCAACCTTATCTGTGACCTCTTCCACTCTAGAATCTAGCTTCTCAACCACAGAAGCAAGTCCTGATATAGCCATTACTATATCTTGCCTCAGAATAGTGTTATTCTTCTCTAAAAGATTCTTCATTTCCCCTCTGATTTGAGTTTTATTCTGGTCAAAAAGCTCCTTCATTTCCCCTCTGATTTGAGATACAGCATTTCCCATTATATCTTTCATATCTTGTACAGTTATTGCTGGCAGAGGCGGAGAAGGTGGTGATGTAGCTTTAGGTTGTTGTACAGGTAGAATCTCAGGAGAAGAAGCCACCTTAGGAACTGTAGAAGCTGCTTGCCTCTTTAAAGCCATTTTTTTTAAAAAAATCTTACTTCTTCTTTCTTCCTTCTTAAAGAAAAGCAATAAAAAAATCCTCAAAAAATAAAAAACAAAGGAGAGTTTAAAGAATATTTCAAAAACACAAATCCACCTTCAGAAAAAGGAAAAGGTTTAAGAAAAAACTATAAAAAAACTATATAGTCCATAATGTTCCGTTTAACTCACTTTTTTTCCAGAAAAAAAAAACTTTCAAATCGCCATTTTACTTTCACTCTCCACACAAACAAAGAACAAAGAAAAAAAAATCAACCTAAACTAAAAAGCAAATAAAATCAATAAGTCCAATCCTTTATCCAGCTCTGTTCGCTTTAAAAATCACTCACCCGGTCCCTTTAAACGCGGAGATGGTAGCGGCATTTCACTTTGTTCCCGAAGGAACAAAGACAGCTGGGAGGCGGAGGCAACCCGAACTCCGAGGGAGCTCTCTTTCCACCCCCCACAGAAAAGTTCCTGGGGGGTTTAAGAGGCTCTACCTCTATTCGGGTGGTTCTCTTCCCCCTCCCTTCGCCCGGGAGGGAGATTTCGAGCCGCGGAACAGCTGGTGTCTGCCGTACTCCGCGGTTCTCACGCTCGCCCAGGAGGACGGCTACAAAGTAGCCGCCATCATCGACGCTATCCACCGGAGGTCTCCAAAAGTTGTTGCCTCTTATATTCAAATTAATTTACTGCAACTTTAAACCAAGAGCTCAACAAATTCTTTATAGATGAGTTACATTTAGATTTCTCTTTGTAATACCAATAATCCCTTATAAAATTGTTTTTATTTCCATTAATATCAGGACAATAAATGACAAGTACGAACACACCATTTTCATGTTTACTAATTAACTGTCTCTCAGGAATATACTGCAGACATATCCTTTGTTCAAAGAATGATTTTCTCATGTTATATCTAAAATGTAACATCTATTACACATGTTATAAATCTATTGTGCATACTTTCTCCTATGATCACATTATATCCTGAAAAATCTTGTCAGTTTTCTGAAGCTTTTTCCCACAAATAGGATCAGAAGCTGGAATTAATGTATTCAGTTCATAAACATGAATCTGCTTCTTTTCTGCTCAGAATCACCCCTACCTCTAAGGAATGTTGAGAACAGAATATCATCTATGATTAACTTGCTGCCAAAGAGAAAGTCACAAATTTACAATGAAAAAAAAAGCTTTTGTATACAGACAGATCTTTATTTCATTCATTGAACAATAAACGTTCATTCAATAAAATGAACAACACAAAACTATTCTCTAACAACAAGAACTATTAGCAACCATTTGTGGGCAAAGCAAAGTTTTGTTACTTTTAGGGAAATAAATTGATTCTGATCATTTAACAGTACAAATAAAAGCTATCAGAGTGCCTTGGAAATTTAAATAAAAGAGGGGTAATCAACCATTGGTGAATGACCCTGTAGAACTGGCAACACAGAAGAACACGATCTGTGGTTTCTATGGTACCCCTATCATGGGAGGGGGGGCAGTCTTGGGTTTCATATAAGGTTTCCCTATATTTCTTTCCAAGAGCGCTATGAGGAGGACATTAACAAAAGTGCTCTCCTAAAGGATTTGGTTATTTGGTTATAGTCTTTGTGAGCATAGAAGTATATATTCTTTATATAAGCTGGAGGCTTATGATCAATTTCTGCAGCAACCAACATATGCAAAATGTTCTCTATATTTTTGTGGCAATGCTGTTCCTAACTGGTATTTATGCATTGATATTCTTTGCAGCATCAAAGTGTTTGAATGTTTAGATAATTATTGTTTCTTTGTATAAACACATAATATTGTTCAAAATCCTGACTAACTCTACTAACTTCACAATTTTTGCACCAGGTAACTTCAGGGTACATTTTTCCTTTCAGAGAACAAACATAACCTTCCCTGTTCCCTCAGTGATAAACAGAATGAAACTGGTGAGTAATTTAGCAACTTAACTGCCTGGAGGAACATTAAACTCACAAGTGTCTCTGTGGCTCTTCTCCTGATTTACAGAGTCACACCTGAGGATAAATATCAGAGGATATTTATGAGGAACTGCTGGTCACCAAAGACATATGTCTCCTTATCACAACATGGTATAATGACATTTAGTTAAAGAAGACACTAATGGTGTCATTCCGGTCAGTTTTACAATCCCCACGCCACTCTGTTGTCTTATTTTAGGGATTTTGAAGAAGGCACTACCTAGCCTTCTTTTTACTAAATATTGCCAGGGAGATGCAGGTGAGTGTCTGACAGTTTATCTTCATAGCCGACATTTTAGCCCTGAAGCAGAACTGAAATGGCAAAGTAGCTTTCATGTTTGGTTCCAGCCTTGTGTTACTCCCTTGGGGATTTTAGGCATTGCTAGACTGTAGAGTCCTGGCTCATCAAGCCAGCAGCAAAACAATTAAAATACAGAATGTGTTTTGCTTTCAAGTGATCTGGCAAATATTGATAAGGACACAAAGTAGTATCAGTTTGACCTACAGCAGTGCATTTTTCTCTTCTGCACCATATTGATTACAATCCATGTATTCCGAAAGTTCCTACTGAATAAACTCTGTCCACTGTGTTGCATTTGTGATGATTTCATGACTATGAGCCATATCTAATGAAGCTGAACACAGAATATCATTCTTGATCCTCCAAAGTGTAAACAACTCCTGTGGATCCTAAAAATTTTAAGGTGTCATCCGCACACTGAATATTTTTGTGAGGGCGTTTAGGTTTGATTTTAGAAGCCAGCAGAAACAATAGGAAAACAATTGTGGTACAGGAGATCCTCGACTTACAACATTTCATTTAGTGACCATTCAATGTTATAGTGGTACTGACAAAAGGGACTTAGGATTGTTTTTCACACTTACGACTGTTGCAGCATCCCCAAAGTCATGTGATCAGAATTTGTATGCTCGGCAGCTGGTTCATATTTATGACAATTGCAGTGTCCCAGGGTCACATGATCACTTTTTGCGACCTTCTGACAAACAAAATCATTGGGGAAGCCAAATTCACTTAACAACCATGTTACTCACTTAACATCTGCAATGATTCACTTAACAATTGTGGCAAGAAAGGTTGTAAACTGAGCCAAAACTCATTTAACAACTGTTTCACTTAACACCAGAAAAGTTGCGCTCGATTGTGGTTGTAAGTCGAGCTCTACCTGTATGATCCACAATGTATATTTATCTAGCTCTGTTTCCCACACTGAAAGTCCAGAGGAAGTTAAACATAATAAATAAAATACTTTGAATTATTCTAATGTCTTAGTGCAGTATACTATATTTTCCACTTAGGCCTTTAGGTAGGGAATTCCTTCAGGGGTGTATGAGTAGGTAGTCAGATGTGGTCAGGAAGAACACCACAAATATTTGTGCCTGGATGGCTGGAATTTTTGAATGTTCTGAGTTGCTCAATTAGTCTTTTAATTAGATTAAAAATCCAGTTTCTTCCAGGTGTGCTGTCTGCTCATGAGAAACCCAAGAACAGTAGCCCAAGAAAAGAGGAATCCCACACAAAATTGGATAAACAGAGCATTCAAGAAACTGAGTCCACTTCAGAGGATGACAGCGGCTCGTGTTGTGAATATGACGACTCAACCTTTGAATCTACTGATGAGTCATTGCAGTCGGAGGATAAGCTCAGTCTTGAATCTGGAAAGTCACATAGTGAATCAAAATCTGAGTCCAGTTCTGAAATTAGTGAGTCCAGCGAACTTAGTGCAGACTCCGAATCTGAGTTTAACCATTCAGACCCTGCCAAGTCCCTTCCCGCATGTGTGCGGGAGAAGTCCCAGACAAAGCAAAATAAATTATTTGCCAAAGAAGCAGATTTTCAGGCCAGGAATTATCTCAGGAGAAGAAATGGGTTGCAGACTGAGATGAAAAGAGGCTATAGTGTGAAAAGCGAGCTGCATGTTAAGAACAGGAAGTTCAGCCGAGAGCCTCTTAGTGAAAATAGTGAGAATTGCAATGGAAAGAGAAAGGCCCAGACAGAAAAAAGTAGGCCAGACAAAGAAAAAAATAAACAGGATGAAAACCTAGAGATCCAAATTGGAAGATCAGAATTGGAAACTGAAGAATATAGTGGGGAGAGAAAGAGGCTTGCCATTAAGAAAAAAGAGCAGAATGAGAAATTTGAACATCATGGCAAGAAAAAGTTTCAGAAAGGGAAGACTGACGGTCTTTCTGGAAAGCTGCAAATTAAGAAGCCTCCAGCACAGAAGAGCAGATCTTGCCGCAAAGAGGAGCTGGACACCAGAACTGGGCAGCCAACTGGGCAGAAACAGAGATTTGACGAACCTGATTCAGTTCTTGGATATATGAGACCTATCAGAAAGAATACTGTTTCATTGTCCCCCCAAAAGGGAGGGCAGAATGGGAAGGCGGATGTGCAACCACAAAAAAGTGAGCTGAAAGTTGGTAAGGCAAGATATTCTCAAAAGAAAGAGATTCAGGCTAGGAGAAGCAAGTTGCATGCTGGGAAGAGCAAGGTGAACATTGAGAAAAATGATTTACATGCTATAAAGAACAATGTGGATGTCCAAAAAAGAGAACCACCGGTTGGGAAGAGCAAGATAAATGTCAGAAAAAGTAGATGGCCTGATGGGAGAGTGAAAAAAACAGCCCCTGAGGCCAGAGAGAACGCTGTGGAGAACAGCAGATCATCTTATACATGGAAAGTACCAGCTACTGTCTGGTTTGGCCCAGCAGAAAATGCAAGCAGCTTTCCATTCAGCGGGATGACTGAATTACTGTATGGCCAAACAGTTTTATCAGATAAAAGAAAACTATATGGAACAAATCCAACATTGCGTTGTAACCAGGGGCCAAACATCCAGTCATGGAATAGAATAAACCAATTACATCTGAAGAAAAACTACCTTCCACACATTGGTGTCTCTTTTCAGGAGAGGAAGACTTGGCCAACACATATAAACAATCCCACTGAAATATATACTTCAGAGGTCTCATCTTCCTGTCCAAGATGTTCCCAGTGCTGGTGCAAATGGTTACACCATAGTTTGTGAAAATATGCCCAAGTGCTGGACACTTGTTGCAGAGAACAGAAGTTTCCACATACAGCAGCTTTTCAATAAAGAATGGTTTGAAAGTCAAGTTTGATTTCTATTACATGTTCCTACTTAAGGAGATAGGAAGATGATTACAGATGCAGCAGGGGAACTCCTGGTATGTAGGCTAATGTGAAGAGGGATGAATGAATGAATGAATGAATGCCATCGTTGAGTGTGCCTGTTCTCCTTGCTACTTAAACTAACATTAACACAATGCTGCATTTTTGAGACATGGGATTCATACAGAATGCTTATATCTTTAATTCTGGAAACCTACTCCCAGGTACATGTTTGAATAAAAAGAACTAGAGAAGTGGTTGCATTGATGGGCCTGGATCTTCTCCCTCTCTATCACCAATTAGAAATCCTCAACTCTGCCTCCTGCTCCCCCATCTCCATTCATTGCATATAGGCTGCCTTTGAACGTGGATTTAGATTTAGTTCTGAGTGGATATAGTACATCCCAAGTTAGAAATGTGCATTTCACTATATTTCCTTGAATGAAGGTAATGGAACAGAGCAGAAATGATTATCAAAGTGATAAGAACAGGACAAGAAGCAACGGATGGAAACTAACCAAAGAGAGAAGAATCTAGAACAGTGGTGGCGAACCTATGGCACAGGTGCCAGAGGCTGCACTCGGAGCCCTCTCTGTGGGCACACATGCTGTTGCCCCAGCCACGCCTCCACCATGACCCCCTCCTCTCCAGCAGCCCCCCTGAAGGAGAGTTGCCCCTGAGTGTGGCCCACGCGGAGCAGTTCAGCCAAGGACATGGCAACCAGGCAGCGTAGACAAGACTCTGCCCTCACACCTCATTGTGCACAGTTGATGCTGCAGGGCGCGGGCAGAGGGCGTGACTACCATAGAGCTGCTGGGCTGCCTGGACGATCTGCGGCGGGCCCTGGAGGCGGTGAGTGGCCCTGCAGGCAGGCAGGCGGGGTGAGGGATGGGGGACGGGGCAGGGGGTGGAGTGGGGGAGGGGCCAGCTTTTGGGCACTCGTTCTCTAAAAGGTTCGCCAGGACTGACCTAGAACTAAAAAGAAATTTCCTGACGGAACAATTAATCAGTGGAACAACCTGCCCCCAGAAGATGTGAATGCTCCAACACTGGAAGTTTTAAAGAAGAGATTGGATAGCCATTTGTCTGAAATGATATAGGATTTCCTGCCTGAGCAGAGGGTTGGACTAGAAGACCTCCAAGGTCCCTTCCAACTCTGTTCTGTTCTATAATAAGATCTCCATCAAGATCTATTAGGTTCTCATACAAAAGAGAATGATACGGTGCCTTCAGAAATAACTCATGTGATCTATTAGGTTCACAGTCTACAGTATATTCTGTCTTTCTAGTCTTCTAACTTGTATTCTGCTTTGAGGGGCAATAGCTCTGAAAAGCAGATAATAATAATACATTAATTTTTGGTCTGAGAATAAGCCCTACATTGACCAGAATGCTTATTTGCATTTTAAAATCTATCTTCTGCTAGTCTCTTCTTGATCATCCAAGATCAGCATATTGTGCATGAGAAGGGGGGCTGAGTGGTTAATTTAGTTCCATATCTGGAAATGATGTATGACAAATTAACGAATGCTATACAGGTAGGATACGATTAGTGCACGTTTGAATAGTGTGATATTCAATTTAGTACAAATTATAAATTGACAGGAGGTTGTGTTTAATGTGAGCCCAAATTCAGTTACACAAGACTAACACGTGTGCAGCTGAGGCTCATGCATGTACAAGTGTTATTGGGGTTCTAATCATTGTGTTTGCAATATGAAGAAAAGGTTCTATTTGAGGAAAGCTCCAAAAAGAAGTTCATCTTAAAGAACTACAGCAGAATATAGGAGATGGTAGATTTATTTATTTATTTATTACATTTATGAGGCACCTATCTCACTCTCGAAAGCAACTTTGGGCAGTTTACAAAAGGTATGCTTTGGATACGAGTTTATCGTCTTTTATTGTTGTAAAGGATATATTAATAAAAATATTAAAATTATGTTTAAAAAGTGTAATTGCCTATTTCCATCAAGCTGGAACCAATTACCCAATTTTCCATAGAAATATCACTTTCAATCGCGCAAAATTGAATAATGCAGCCATTTTGTAGGATTCATTAACCACACTAATCGAGATGTACCTGTGTCTTGCACACTGAATCAAAGCAGGAGATGCTTTAAGTGTTGTATTTGATAGGACCCATGCAATTCAGCAACATGAAAATTTAAAAGAAACATCTACTAGTTTATGAGGATGCAGCCATATTTTTCATATGACAAACAATGTGGATTCAGATCCTTTAATTTTATAATTAATGCTTATAGAAGTACAATTTGTATTCAGTCTTATGTCTTAATTAGTATTAGACTAATTCCCAGCTTCAAAAGAAATATTGTCCACCTGGTCATAAAATCCTTTGAATCACTGAGCAACATTTTGAGCGAGTTGATTTTGCCACGTTGGTGAAATGACTGGCATATTTAGTGCATGATCAGAAGGGAAGTAGAAAAACCCGAGTAGAAAATAAAACAACTGTGCAAAAATGAGACATATGAACACTATGCCTGACAATTCTGCCATAACCTAGTAGTCAAGTAATTACTGCCATACTCCCACCTTATAATCATGCACATAGAAAGAACATGCATGCACTCATAGCTGCATGCCTCTAGCATCGCTACATAGATCACATCTATGACAGCGCTCTAGCAATGACCCAAACATCCTTCCAGGAAAGAGTTCTTTCACGACCAAAACCACAATAATACAACATAACCAAAGTAACACATGCCAAGAAAAGAAAGCACTCAATGCATTACCCATTTTACTTATCTAATGCTCTTGCCAAGTACTTGCAGAACACATACAGCTCTCTGTTGATAGAAGTTCCAGACATACTCAGGAAGGGGAAGATTCTTGACAAATAGCCAAAGAAAGGGAAGGCACTGAAACATGGGATATATGATCTTCACTCTGGTGAAGACGGGATTGGGGAGCAGGAGTCTGGAGTTCTCCAGATCAGAAGAGAGGCAAAAATAAGCTCCCAACCCGTTTAGAGCCTCTGTTTTAAAAAACAACAACAGCAGCAACAACAATAATAATAACAACAACAACACATGCTTGGCCAAAACAAAGCAATTTCCCAACACTACCACCCACCTGGTGCAAACTTCTTTCCCTAGCTATTGGTTATATAGGAAGAAGTAGCAGATAAATAGATGCATCTTGTGGCATTTTCTCCTCTCATATCAAAGATTTCAAGATCCTACAGGTTGCAAAAGGACCCGTGGTCTATCCCTAGTAGTTCAAGTCCAAGCTGTTTATTCTATTTTATTTATTTATTTATTAAATTTCTGTGCCACCCATCTGACTAATACAATGACTCTAGGCAGCTTACAATATATTAAAAAGTTTAAAAGTGTTAAAAACAATTAAGATTGGAATAAAAAATCAAAAATTGAATGCCAAGATGATGGGTAGCCTGGCAGTGAGATTCTTCTCTACCCTGTCAGCCACGCCCAGTGGAACAGGTCCCTATTGCGGCCCCGAGCCAATAAGCGAGCCAGGTTTTTAAGCTTTTCTGGAAGGCCAGGAGTGTGGAGGTAGATCTTACCTCTTGCAGGAGAATATTCCAAAGGGTGAGGGCCACAGCAGAATAAGCTCTTCTCCTGGACTCTGTCGACGGGATCTGTAGTAGGCCTTTTCCATTGGAACAAGGGGGACAGGTTAATCTCATCATGATAAAGTGGTTCCTCAGATACTCTGGACCCATGCCATAAAGGGCTTTAAAGGTAATGACCACCACCAACGAACTATGCCATCACATCTGCCACATTTGAACCAACAAAGAGTAGTGATGCATCGATCAATAGACTGGTTCACTTTACCTCACTGGCAATCCCAGTGAACCGTCTGCCCGCCATGCTCTCCACTTCCTTCTTCCTTCTGCTCTCTACACCTACATAAACATGCACGGGTGCTCCATTCCTGCTTTGACCACAACTGTATCTCACTTCAGCCATTTTGCTACAGCTCAGAGCCAGTGGATCTGGTCTGCCATGGAATTGCTTGAAGAATGCTGGTAATATTACTTGCCTTCTCCTACTGGAATGCAGGTTTCTACTAAATCCAAGACCTCTTTACTGTATGCAATATTCAGTGTAATTTTGTATTCCCTGTTTCTCATGTGAAATCTATTTTTGCTTAATACTGTTTTTTTTTAAAAAAATATTGACTTTAATGGCATTAGAGTCATAATTTCAGGGACTGTAACTTAAGAGTGTCATTTATAATTTTTGCAATTACCTCTATTTTTAAAGGGAGGTTGAATATTATTTTTTTATCACAATATCAATGTTTTCTTATTCTATTGTTCCATTACTTTGCTACTGTTACGTTTACAGTTCTTTTCATTTCTCCATTTTTGTTGTAAGCTGCCTAGAGTAGCCGCACGGCATAATAGGTGGCAAATAAATTTAACAAATAAATAAAATAACATCATTTATGGATACAATAAAGTACATAAACTGAGTGATTAAACAATGTGTCCATGTGTTATTTTGCATGCAGATACCAAGCAGGCATCTCTGTCTTTGTTAATTATAATTCTTATACCTTTAAATACAGAAATTAATAGACAAGGCCCACACTACCTATTCATTATATCCTCCTATTCATTACATGATAATCATCACTTATGAACATCTAAATCTACAGTTTGGCTTGTGAATATTTATATATTTTCAACCAAGACACAAACAAGAATTGAAAAGGACTGTGTTTTGTTCTTGTTTAATTTGTTGTGACATCAGCTGTTATCCCTACAAACAGGAAAGACTTGTCTGTTTCCTATTCAAACTGCAGCTCACATTGATTCCATGTCTATACTCATTTTGGAAGACAGGCATTCCAGGTTTAAAAATTAAGAATATAAGGTCCAGGCCTTCGCTGATGATTTGGTATTCATTTTGGAAGATCCATTAGAAACCGGCCTTAAAGTGATTCAAAAGATAGAAGAATTTGGTGAGGTAGCCGGACTTAAAATCAATAAGAATAAATCCAAATTAATAACCAAAAATCTTACAACGGCACAGGAAAGTGAACTTGAAGATAAAACAAAGATAAGTGTAACTAAGGAAATAAAATATTCAGGGATCTGGCTTACAGCGAAGTGTTCCTCGATTAAGGAGGATAATTATGATAAAATATTACACCAGATAAAAAAAGTCCCATTGGATTTATGGGAGACAATTTGGATTAGAAATGTTAAATTTACACAAGCTCAAAATTTGAAGGAAAATTTTTATAAAATGTTTTACAGACGGCATTTAGATCCTAAAAAATTATCTTGTATGTATCCAAATTTACAACCCAAATGTTGAAGATGTGGTAATATGGATGCGACATATTTTCATGTTTGGTGGAATTGTAAAAAGGTAAAGGCTTTTTGGATTATGATTTGGTGGAACATTCAAAAGATTTTTAAAAGGAAGATAAAGTTCACCCCTCAATTATTCCTATTGGGTATCTTTGTGGATTTAAATGACAAAGAAACTACTTTAATGTTGAATTTATTAACTGCAGCAAGGTTATTAGTAGGCTCGTATTGGAAGAAGGACTCGTTGCCTACTTTAGAAGAATGGATATTTAAAGTTTCTAACTTTGCAGAAATGGCAAAAATTTCTGCTTATTTGAAGGATCATACACAAGAAAGATATATTATTGTATGGAGAAGATGGATAGATTATATTCAGAAAAAATATGGGACTATAAAGTTTCATTTATTTTATGAGTAAATTTTATAGTAACTGTTGTAGAGATTTGTTTATATGTCTTAATTTAAGGGGAGTTAAAGGTTAAGTATGATTTTTTTTCTTTTTTTTCTTTCTTTTTTTTCCTTTTTTAAATTATTGTTAACCTTCTTATTAATAACCCTGTACTCTGCTCTGGGAAGCGAGGGGGAGAGGGTTGAGGGTGGGTGGGTGGGTAATGATAATATAGTCATGGCAAATGCTTGGGCATTTCCCCTATGCTGCGTTCATGTGTGTGAGAGGGATGAGAGGGGAGGAAGGAGTAGGGAGGAAGTAGGATGGTTAGAGGAGATGGGGAGGGGAAGAGAGTAGGAGGGGAGGAGAGAAAGAGGAGAGAAGTAGGGAAGGTTTAGAGAGGGTGGACGCAGCCTGGGGGGAATGGGCAGGCGGTACCAATGGTTAATTGAATTTTGTATGAATAAATGGAAAATAAAAACTTTTTTAATAATTGAAACCCAAAAAAAAAAAAAAAAGAAAATTGGGAAAATCTACAAATTTCATTTTTAGGGAGGACCGCTACGGTCAAAATGAATATATTGCCAAAAATATTATTTCTGTTCCAAGTTATTCCAATAAAACTAGGGAAAACATTCTTTCAAGAATTAAATAAATTGGTCACTAAATTTATATGGCAAAGGAAAAAAAACCAGGATTAAATTAAAACTTTTGCAAGATATGAAAGATAAAGGGGGATTGGCGTTACCAGAGTGGGAAATATACTATCAAGCATCGAGCCTAACTTGGCTAAAAGAATGGATGGAATTGAAAAATACCAGAGTTTTAACAATAGAAGGACATGACTTGCAAGTGGAGTGGCACACATTCCTATGGGACAGAAAATATAAAATACATACAGTAGATACTTTCAAAGACACATAGTTAGGAATGCATTGCTACAGACTTGGGAAAAAATAAAACAAAAACATTATATAAGAATTCCAATGTGATTATCCCCAACAGAAGCTCTGAAACACCCAAACCTACTGGATATAAATAAGATAATTAGATACAAGGACTTAGTAAACGAACAGGGAAATTTGAAAACAAAACAAGAATTGGAACAAGATATTGGCGGAGAGATTGACTGGTGGACATTTACACAAATTCAATCTAAATATACAGAGGACAAAAAATTATATGAAATACAAAAAGAGCTGCAAGAATTGGATAAAATTATACATGAAACAGAAATAAAATTAATTAGCAGTTTATACAAATACCTATTGAGATATAAAATGGAAGATGAGGTTGTCAAAGACACAATGATTAGATGGGCAAAAAATTTCGGATATAATATAGAATTGGAGAAATGGGAAAAAATATGGGAAATAAACATAAAATTGACTATGTCAGTGGCATTCAAGGAAAATCAGTTGAAGATGTTTTATAGATGGCATCTTCCACCAGCAAAGCTTGCCAAGATGTCCCAGAACAATTCTCCAACATGTTGGAAATGTAAAAAAGTACATGGAACATATTATCATTTATGGTGGACATGCCCAGTTGCGAAAAAATACTGGACTAAAATAAGAAAATGGATGGAAGAAATAATAGACCAACCCGTAGACTGGAAACCAGAGATCTTTCTGCTGGGTATTTTAAACAGAAAATATAGTAAAGAAATACGGTTCTTAATTCTACATATAACAACGGCAGCAAGAATAGTATACGCACAGTTTTGGAAAAATAAGAATATACCATTAGAGGAAGACGTGATAAGAAAAATCCTGGACTGTGCTGAGATGGACAAATTAACAAAAGAGATAAAAGAAAAGGAAGACACAGAGTACTATCTAATATGGAATAAGTGGTATGACTGGTTGGAGACTAGAAATAATAAAGGAGAATAAACGTGGAAAGGTCAAAAGTAGAAAATGTGTGTATAATAATGTATAGTAATAATAATATGTATTATTTTTAGTATAAGGTATACTATGAAGGAAGAAAAATGTAAACAAGAAACAACGGGACAACAAGAACAAATATATCTAAAGAAGAATAAAGGGGGAAATGTAAATAATAGAAGATTACTGTTATGAAATTGCTGTTAAAAAAGGAGGAGTACACACTGTGTGTGTATGTGTGTTATGTTTTGTTGGTTTTTTTTAAAAAAAAATTTTTTAAAAGGAAGGCAGGCATCCCTAAAGAAAATACTATTACTAGTGCTTCTGTTTCTGTTTCTAGTATTTTCCCAAGCATCACCTTTTGGCAAATTTATTCATTTATGAATGAAACTCTCCAGCTATTGTGTTCTGTCAGAACATGCATAAAATATTCATTTAAAAATCCAGAGAGCAGGGATCAGAGCTGGCCTTGAAGCTGCTTACTAGAGAGACTTGCCCCACAATTCCAAGAGGTAACATCTCAATTTAAAGAAAAATAATACACTGCACAAGCTGCGAGACAGCTTAAGTCCAAGTCAGGTCTAAGCCCCCTGAATCCTAGCAACCTCAGCAAATGAACACACAAAACCACATTACTCAGTGCCACGATTTTGGACTGTTTTATAGTTTCACTCATTCTTTTTTGTTAGACAGCATTACCTATTTCTAGTTACACTTCTAGCTCAGTTATTAAACCCTGAATGTAAACTTCGATTAATGCAAGTTCAAGTAATGCAATAATAAGTTTAGAGTGAACTGTAAATTGATACCAGGTCATGTTTAGTGCAATTCAAAGTTCAGTTAATGAAAGTCTAGTTTGTACACTGATGTGGTTGGGGTTTTAGATGCTGCTACTCTTAAATGGAGAAGAGGACGATTCTGTCAGAGGAAAACAGTACAATCTCAAAAAAACAAGAGACTCATTATTAATTAGAGCAAAAATTTGATGTAAATAAATGACATGAAAGTGGTCACAGCAAAAGTAAACTAGGACAAGATCTTGGAATGCCTGAATTTATGATGTGCAATGCTATAAAACTCAGAGAAGAAAAGGTAAAGTTGCACAACCTTTTTGGGGATTTGCAAACGTCTTCAAGGAGTTTGAGAGTATTAAAGATGTTTTTTGGTTGTGTGTGAAGGAATGATCTTTAGAAGTTTTTTTGTTTTTATTTTGATTTCAATAACTACTCTGTCCTTAGTTAACAATAAATGTAAATTATAAGTATTTTCTCTTTGTCCTTTGGTCCCTCAAGTTGGGACCAATTACCCTATTTTCCATAGATAGATGACAGTGAATTTAAATACTGTGACCATTTTGTGGGATTTATTAACTGCATTAATTGAGACCTAGCTGTACAACATTGTGACCTGGTGTCCCCCCCCCCTCTACTCCCATCTCCCTTGACCAAGATCTGAAGCCCTGGCTCACACCCCTGACATCATAATCTGCACAAGCTTGCCATTGGCTGCAGCACCTGCTGATAAAAAGAGGATAAAGGTAAAAGGGTGATGGAGGCCTCCCACTGTCCTTTCCTATATTGAAGGCAGTCAAGAGGCAGAAACAGAGGCCTTTACAGGTATGAAGAGCCCAACACATATGACATGGTTTCATTTTTACTGTTCTCCTAAAGCAATAAATAAGTTGAATGAGGGTGTCCTTGGAAACAGGTTCCACAATTTTTATGCCAAGGCAATAAATGAAAAAAAGTAAGAGACATTAGAGTACAAAGTGGAGAAGGAAGTTTTGGTTTAGTTTGATTCTTGACAACTGCATTATTTCACCTTATAGTAGCAGTTTCGTGATGGATGGCTGTGGCTAACAAATTCAGATATTTGTGAATTGTACAGATCTACAAAGCATATTTTTGATATTCTATAACTCAACTTGCATGCATTTATGTAAAAGAAAACCTCACTCATTTCAATGAAATTTACTCTACAGAAAAACTATATATCATTAGTGCATTAATTTCTAAGAACTTCTAGCTGACTTTGCAGAGATTCTAAGCCTATTATAATACCGTAGCCTACTGTTTCTCTAATAGTCTCCCTCTTTGACTCAGTTCTTTTAACACAAAGTAATAGGGCAACTGATCTAGCTCAGTGATTGAGCTCATATTTTATCAGAAGATCCCAGAGTCAGTCCTCAGTATTTCCAGGTAGGACTGGAAAATTTCCTGCCCCTGCAGCCAGTCAGTGTTCATAATACAGCATTAGATGAATCAATTTGATTCAGTGTGAGACAGCTTCCTATGGTATGTGAATTATTATTGGCAATTATGGACAATGTGTGGCAGAGGTAGGATAGACATGTGCTGCATAACTACTGCCAGCAAAACAGAATATGGAGACCAGCAATGATATTTCCCCTACTTTGCAAGAGGTGGCAGCTTTCTTCCAGGTCTCGTGAGTTTGCAGTGGGCTTGCTGACTATTGTTTTGAATTCAAAACGGGTTCCTACACGCTAAGAACCCTTGTAGAATGGTGAGAGCAACCCGTTTTGAACTCAAAGGAACCATTTCAAACTCAAAGCTGAGCCTTTTGAAATGTTTCAAATTCAAAATGTTTTCTCCGCCCCACTATTTCAAGATAGTGGTGTGGTGCTTCAGGAAGGAAGGCTCAAAGGTTGTGGCGCCTGTCCTGATGTTTAAGCTAAAAGGAGCACGGTGGCTCTCGTGGTTAAGACCCTGGGCTGACAAAACAGCAGGCTCGGGTTTGAGATCTGGTTGCTGCTTCGTGGCAGGGTGAGCTCCCATCACTTGCTCTAACTCCTGCTGAACCAGTTAGAAAGTGGGCAACCACGAGTAGTTAGATGGATACCACTTCAGTGTGCAATTTAACAGGGACATGAAAGGAGCTCCCAACTGGGTGCCCCCCCCAGGCAACTATGATATCACTGTTCAATTCTTTCAACTTGGAAGCACTTCAGTGCTCCTGACACAACTGCAGTAGTAGTAGTAGTAGTAGTAGTAGTAGTAGTAGTAGTAGTAGTAGCAGCTGAAAGTAGTGTTGTACCTTAAGTGTCTTTGCTGCAGAATTCTTTTACATCTGATGACTGCAATCGGTTCTTCTGCAAGACCAATTTCCCTTTCATCTTCTTCAGAAAGGGACTGATGTTTTTGGTACAGTCTCCCAGTATTGAGCATGAGTGTGTACTTATATACCTGAACTGCAGTGTAAATCTATAACACATATCACAGTCAACTCATTTTCTTTCTTGATTTCCAGCCGGCCTCACCAAAAAGAAATAACACCATGGTTGATTACTACCAAGCACTCAACGTCCCACAAACTGCCTCCTCAAATGATATTAAAAAAGCGTAAGTAATCCTTGCTCGGAGCTCACTTTGCCTATCTGTAAAGCTAAAACAACCTTTCATTTGTGTTGGGCTATACAATTACAGCTTTCATGACCTAAAGCCAATACTTATCTCTGTTTGTATTGTGTTTGTTGATGGTGGTTGGAATCCAACATCTCTGGGAGAGTTCCAGTTTGGAGAAGACTCTACAGAAACTTGTCATTTCTAAGCATTCTGAATTGAAAGCTTGAATATACACCTATTTTGAATGTTTGAATGTGCACTCATTTCAACTGTGTAATGGGTATCTTTGAATTTTTTTGGAAGTGTTTTGAGATTAAAATAGATGTTTCAAGCTCAAACACTTTCAAAATGCTACCAATGGCCTGTCAGACACATGAACTAGCACTCAAAGCTGTAGTGTTTCAAACCCAAACAGTTCAGATTCAAATAGTTTGCACAATCCTACTACATATTGTATGAGACAGGAACAATAACATATAGTTAAACATTCTTTAGTGTTCTTCCTGACTTTTGGAGTGAGATGCAAGGGAAGTTAATAACTGATTTTTTGTGAGAATGCAGAGAACTTGGCTTTTCAGTTTCAAGAAACATTATTTAGCCATACATATGAAATAATAGGCACAATGTGATTATCTTTTGTGGGGATTCTGCTTGGTATATTGTTATTGTAAGCAACCTTTAACAAATATATAAATTCAGATAAAGTTTGACAATTGAAATTGGTGCAGTTATGACCCATTAGTACCTTCTGGGGAATACATAAATTTTCATTTATTTGGCTGTCAATTGATGGCTGTCACACTATGATCAGATATCTCACTGTTGGCTTAGCATGAAATGGTTTATCATAATCAGCTCTCGCTCTCTCCCTGGAACATTCTAGGTACAGAAAGAATGCACTGAAATGGCACCCAGATAAAAACCCAGGGAACAAGGAATATGCTGAAAGAAAATTCAAGGAGATAGCGGAAGCATACGAAGTGCTGTCAGATGGTATGTACTCCATCTTGCTTTCAAGATTGCTCTTTTCTGAACTACTTCCTGTATATTTTAAGATGGCTTCTAGCTTTCCTTCCTTGTGTGACACAATAGTCCTCACCTACAGAATAATTTATTACATGCCATTTTGCTGCGCAACCCCGATTCCTTGATTTTTTTTCTCCCACGGTGCTTTCTTTAGATTTCCTGGCTACCCTTTGCCTCTTGCTAAGAACCAGAAGGCTCTGCCAAGGATTCAAGAGTAGTTCATGTTTTCTGATGTTGAATTATAGCTATAGCTATTGGGCTTCGGTGTTGCATTGGAAAGGTTAGATCAAGGGTCTTCAAACTTGGCCCTTTTATGACTTGTGGACTTCAACTCCCAGAATTCCTCAGCCAGCGTGAGGCACGCTGGCTGAGGAATTCTGGGAGTTGAAGTCCACAAGTCATAAAAGGGCCAAGTTTGAAGACCCTTGGGTTAGATACTCAGGTGGGACTCTGCAACTAGTATAGTGAAAGATGAATGTGCTTAAAATAGGAATTTTGACCCTTTACATTGTCTTTCTTCCAGATTATAAACGTGACCTTTATGATCTCTATGGAGTGGAGGGTCTTCTAAATCTAAGTACAGGTAAGCATTCTATTCTGAATGATTCAGAGAGATAATTGAAAAGTTGAAAAGCGGCCATATTCCTTGTGCATGTATTGGTTGTGTTTCATGCATTAGTGCTGGTGCTTGTCACAATTAGCCTCCTGTAGAGCTTAGTCTTCCCCTTGCTACCCTGTAAGAATGTGAATTCATTTAGCACCCCAGGGCAGTATCCATCCTGTACACGGCACCCCGTGTTTGCATCCAGGCAGTTTCTATTCTATCGGAGATAGAATTTGAACAATTTCATGAACATTCCCCTGTCAAAAAGGCCAAACTGTTCAAAATGAAGAGGGATTTAATATTTGATCAATGCTTCTACAGCTATCCACGTGTGTATGCGTGTGTGTGCAACGCGCCTATGTATGACGCCCTCATTTTATAACATTCTAAATATGCATTTTTTGTAGTTAGGGGGTCTTCTTCCCATCCTCCAATTCAGCAGAGGATTCCCTCCCTGCTTATGGCTCTGCTTCCAACCTGCTGTGGGCAACGCGATTGTTCCCAGCCCCAGCCGTCTTTAGCAAATCATCTCCTTCCTTTCTTTACTTTGGGAAAGTTGGAATTTATAATGGGCAGGTGTCTGATTTGTTTTCTGCAAGGAACGGGAGCATGCCCAAGCTCAACAGGGACCTCTGATCTCCTGTTCACGTTTCGAGATGCTGATGAGGTCTTCAGAGAATTTTTTGAAGGACAAGATCCCTTCACTGAAATCCTTGGTAAGTACAGCAAGTACATAGGGCAGTGATGGCAAATCTTTTAGAGACCAAGCGCCCAAACTGCAACCCAAAACCCACTTATTTATTGCAAAGTGCCAGGGCTGCATCAGCTTGTGGTGCCCTTGAGGGGGGAGGGGGGTGGCCACTGGGTGGTCGTGGCTGCAGTGGTCACGGCAGACTGGGTGAGCGTGGCCGGGGCCAGGGCAGCGGGGGCCAGTCCCTTGCCATCTCTGGGGCATCCCCAGGGGGTCAACACTGCTTACTCGCTTACTTCCTGCCGTTGCTTCCAAACGCCATGTGCTTGCTACTCTGGCGAACTCTGGTGGGGCAATGGCGCGCATGCCCACAGAGAGGGTTCTGAGTGCCGCCTCTGGCACGCGTGCCATAGGTTCGCCACCACTGACATAGGGGATGTGACATAGAAATAAGCAGTTGGCAGCGCAGGGGGCAAATTTGTGGTATGTGTACCCCACAGCCTACTCTCTATTCAAGGCCAAGCTCTGTTCTTGGATACAGTGGGCTGCAGAGAGAATGCTACCTTGCCATCAGTTTTTAAGCAGGAACCAATATGGTATGGTGGTGACATGTCCTTCAACTTAGGTGCCACCCAAATGATTTCCAAGATTCTTAGTAATGGTCATGCTGACTAGGAAGCCTGGAAGTTAAAAGCCACACTGAAGAAGTATTGGACTAACCCTGGAGAAATCTAGCTTAAAGATTTAGCCAAAGAAGCTCATGATTGTGAAGCACAATTCTTTTTCCAAGGCTATTGGTGGGATAAAAATGAATGGAGAGAGTGTTTTGTGGGCTCCCAACTCTGAAAGAAAGATGGGATATAAATATAACCATTGAATAATACATATATCAACAACCAGTCCAGTCTACCTATGCATACGGGGGGAAAAAATGAGAAGCTCCAGTTTGCCATTTGCCTCTGGCAGCAAAACGTTTAGGGCTGGCCTTGGAATTCAAGCATATAGCAATCAACAGACAAGTTGGGAGTTTTTGTGAAAATTAATCACACAGCAGGAAATCTCCCTGCTGAACAGAACTGGAGGATAGTATTCCTTTGCTTCACAAATATTTTTGGACAATGACCAGCCACTGTATGTGATTAATAATAATAATAATAATAATAATAATAATAATAATAATAATAAAGTTGGAATGGACCTTGGAGGTCATCTAGTCCAACCCCCTGCTCAGGCAGGAAACCCTATACCATTTCAGACAAATGTCTGTCCAGTCTCTTCTTAAAAACTTCCAGTGTTGGAGCATTCACCACTTCTGGAGGCAGGTTGTTCCACTGGTTAATTGTTCTAACTGTTGGGAAGCTTCTCCTTAGTTCTGCAGCCTGGGACTCAAGAAAGTTATTTAAAACATTAAAAGATGAAGAAAAATCAAACGGGAGAGAATACAGTGGCATTACTCCTTCATCTAAGTCAGGGGTAGTCAACCTTGGCTCTTTTATGACTCGTGGACTTCAACTCCCAGAATTCCTGAGCCATTCCTGCTGGCTCAGGAATTCTGGGAGTTGAAGTCCACGAGTCATAAAAGAGCCAAGGTTGACTACCCCTGATCTAAGTTCTCTTCCTAAAGAAAAGAAAAGGAGCACAAATCCCTGCTTCTTCTCTACTGCAGGAAAAGGGGAAAAGGGCCAGAAGAATGGCAGGAGAAGAGTTGCAGCCCTTCCCTGGTTGTATAAAGAAAGTGGGGGGGGGGGGATTGTTTGCTGTTTCCCATGTACAGACTCATAATCAAGAAGAGCAACATAAAATCTGGGATTCATATCGGTGCAACGCATGTCTTAGTGCCAATTCCAAAAACACGTAGCCATCGAACCAACAAACGTTTCTCATTATAGCATGGTTGCCCGAAGCTGTCAATATCCATTGTTGTTGTTGTTGTTGTTGACCCTGTTGTTGTTATTCATAGTTCTATTAGTTAAAGTAGTATTTATTATTTTCATATATTAAATATTTGAGCATCAATGAACATTCTGAAACTTAACGAAGGGATCAATAAGCTGAAGAGTCCAGGTGGCCCTTAATACAACCTATTATTTTGTAGAGGTTTACCATGAAAATAACACAATAATTAAAATACAACACCAATTGTTCTTTACACATTAATGAAAAATACAAGACAAGGTTGAAGATAAGCTACTTTCTATTGCAGTCAGCTATTAATAAAAAATGCAAAAGGTGCCAAACACAGGAAATTGCAGCCAGATTATTTACAGCTACCCGTATAGCACGTCCTAGACACAGTCAAATCAGTCAGAAGGAACAGCGAAAACGTCATCTATATACCGTATATATAGAGATGTGTGTAACACATGAAACCACTGTAGCTTATAAATAATATTTTGTGAATCCATGGGATTGTTTTGTAAATCATGTTGTGTGAATTCACCCAAATTCTAGTTTATTCAATAGAGTATGTGTGAACATAGTTGTGGTTTGGGCCATTCCCAAAAGAAAGCTCACCTGAGTGGGTTTTTACAACCAAGCTCCACCTTATCTGAGGTTCTATCGGGCCTCCATTTAATTAACAGACATTCCAATGTTAGAAAGAAAGGCTTATTGTATTGCAACATATGTTGCAACTATTGTTATAGCACCTGCAGACAAGATCTTTGAAGTTATGTGATCTCATGCATTCTTGCAACAATCAGCCTTGCCCTGTGATGGTTGAGCAACAAAAGCTTAGCAAAGGTGCCTTGCCTAGGAACTGTACTCACTTTTAGTATATAAGCTTAAAACCAGGTCTTTCATTTACTAGGCCACTAAAGGTCAACTTTCTATGACCAGAAATCTCTTTCTATGCAATCTATCTATCTATTAAAGCAGTGATGGCGAACCTTTTAGAGACCGAGTGCCCAAACTGCAACCCAAAGCCCACTTATTTATCGCCGAGTGCCGGGTGCCAGGTGGGCATGGCCCACTGAGTGGGCATGGCTGTGGTAATCATTGCAGACTGGGTGGGTGTGGCCAAGGTGGGCGTGGTCACCTCGATGTTGCTTATGGGGAAGGACGCCTGTGGGGGCCGGGCAGGGTTGGGGGAGATCCAGGGGGTCTCTGGCAGGTGGGCAGGAGGCTCGTCCTGCAAGGCAAAGCGTGGCAGGGAGGGGGTGCCATTGTTGCAGGGCAAGGCAAGTCAGGGGCCGGGGAGGCTGCTGCCTGACACAATCGACCCCCGCACACAGAGGCCAGCGAGTACATGGGGGCCAACAGTGTCCATCAGCAGCCACAGCCTGCTGGTCCCTCGACCGGTGCACTCTGGGCTTCACAGCCCACTGCCAGCAGTTCAAGAAGCCACCTCTGAGCTGGACGGATGGCTGACAGCTGAGGAGGCGATGCAGTGTGTCGTGCCCAGGAAAAGGAGAGCATGCGAGGCCAGGAGGGATGAGACGGGGGGAAGGAAACCAGCCATGCTGGGATGCATCGGGCCACGTGGGACCTCGGTGAATTAGCGGGCGGCTGGTTGAAGAGGGATGGTTGCCATCTCAGGGGCATGGCGTGCATGCCCACAGAGAGGGCTCTGAGTGCTGCCTCTGGCATGCGTGCCATAGGTTCACCACCACTGTATTAAAGAAACTGTTAAAGAACTAGGACCACAAGCCTTGAGGTTTTTTTTTTTTTACATGAGTTCACTATGTGTGCCAATTTGTATATGGGTTACTTGGCATAAACATTGTGTTTCAGAACATGCCCAACATTCTTTAGAAGTTGTATGCTGCAGTTCAATAAAAACAGACAAACTGCTGGGCCATTTGATTGACTTTTTGGGCCTATTACTTATGTGAATCTAGATAGTGGCATGTCACCCAAACAGTTCCAGATAGTCAAAAGCTGGAAACAAGTGAAACTTTCTGAAAATATCCTTAATCAGTTCTTGCAAATATGGAAGTACCTGTCTTACAAAAGTACTTCTGTATTCAAGGATGTTAAAATTTGACATTGTCGATCATGAGTATTCTCCCTCTACATAAAAGTCCTTAAGAGGTATGGGGGAACCAGTAAGGTAGCATACAAAAAAACCCTGATACCTAACAGCTGAAGCCTATTTCCACCACCCCCTTTTAGCTTTGTTAATCACAACTTAATTTTCCTTGAGTCCAGTATTTGATCTCCTTAGCTATAGGCTTTTTTCATGTCTATATCTGAACCCCAAACCTTCGCTGAAGGATGCATTTTATGAAAAACAAATTTCACTCTCGGTTCAAGCTTATTTAACGTAATTGCAGATTTTATTATTTATATATAAATAATCTTCAAACATACAACAAGACATACAACAGCTGCAGTAATAAATCTACTGCCTGAAACAACCACGCCTAGTACAGTATGTCCTAATGATATTTATTAATCTTTTTTTCTTTCTAGAAGACTTTTCATCCTATACTGATGCACCTGGAGGAATATCTACCTGGACCATGCCAGGAAGTGCTACTTTCTCTTATTGCTCCTATAATGCTCCAGGTCAGACAGGTAAAGCTCTGCATTCCCCCTTCCCTTGCTTTCTCAACCAGCAGAATAGTCTTTGTGCCCCGATTTTTGTGTATGGTAATTGCATGGTTATCAGAATCCATCATTGGAGGATGGGCTCATATATTGCACCAGGCTAGAGTCTGCTCAACATGCTTTGTTGAATAATTTATAGTTGATTGAGTTTATATATCATACTAATCCATGAACCATGATTTCAAAACTATAATGGCTGGGTTCATATAATATGCTCAGCCAAGGCAGAGAAACCACATTATGGCAAAGAAACCAGTATTTGCTTGTTCCTTGTTTAGTGAAATATATTTCCCATTGACTTGGGAAAACTTCTATCATCTCTTAGGGGATTATTCAACATTTTTATTAATGATCTAAATCAGGGGTGTCAAACTGCTGGCCTGCGGGCCGGACGCATCACGAGGAAACCGCGCCCACCCCATTGCCGGCAACGGGGAAAAAACTCCGATACGTTGCACGACGTCACGTGACGTCGCGAGTTTGACATGTCTGATCTAGATGAAGGGACTGATGAACTAATCAAGTTATGCAGGGTAAAAAAAAGTGAGAGGTCTGGCCAACACCTCAGATGACAAAACAAGATTGCAATCCAATCTGGACAGGTTGGAATATTGAGCTGAGAGGAGTAAGATGTTGTTTAATAGGAAGAACTGTAAAGCGTTACATTTAAGAGGTAAAACGTAGGGTCTATCTACAAAATGGGGAATATATATATGGCTATGAAACACTGTATCTAACGACTTGGGTATGATTACTGACAATAAGCTGAACATGAATCAAAAATGTGGAGCATCTGCTAGGTGGGCTAACATGGTTCTGGAGTACATCAGAAGATGCATCATATCAAAGACAGGTGAAGTCATTACCCCTCGTTACTCCCTTGAGACACACATGGAGAACTGTGTGAAATTCTAAGCACCACATTTCCAGAAGGACTTAGGCAGATAAGAGAAAGTTCAGAGGAGGGGTTCCAAGAATGATCCAGGGAACTGAAGACTTATCTAATGAGGATAAGTTGAAGAAACATAAGATGTTCAACCTGCAGAAATGACCAAATGGAGTCATTATGATCATGTTCAGGTACATCAAGAAAAGATGAAGAAGAATATTTTCCGGGGCCCAAAAAACTAGGACCAGAAGTAACAAATAAAAAATGCAGCTATCTACATTTTGTTTAGGTTTATTTCATTTAAAAATATTTCTGATAGTAAGAGTGGAACAGTTTATCTATAGAGGCCACAGGTTCTCCAGCTCTGGAGAATATTTAAGAGGCTGGACAGGATGGTTTGATTGGTTTTCCTGCATCTTGCAGAGGGTTGGACTAGATGATCTTTGTGGTGCCACTGTGACAATTCTGTGATTCTATATCCTTTATCTCGCTGTCTGTTTCTGTCTCTCTCCTCAGCAATAAATGTTGATTCTCCTCCACCACCTCCTCCTCCTCCTCCTTCTCCTCTTCCTCCCTTTTCAGATTTCTACACAACTTTTGGGCCTGGTGCTGAATTGGGAATAGGATTTCGCTCCATTTCCACTTCTACAAAATATGTCAATGGCAAACGGATAACCACCAGGAGGTGAGGTGATGAGGATAACCCCACAATTCTTGGGATAGCTTGTCCCCTCAATCATTTCCACTAAAGCTAAGGAACTTTTATGAAAAGATAGTAGTAGAAATAATGCTAGAGATTAGAAGCACAAACATATTCCTACTCACAGGTAAGACATGAATACCCTGTTTAACTTAAACCTGCTTTCTTCCAAAAGATGGCTATTTTTGCCTTGCTTGTTCCCATACCTTTTTTAAAACGATGGTTTTTTAAAAAAAAAATTGAAAAGTTATCCAGGAAGCTTTTGTAAATGAATATTCTCCCACTGCAACTTCTCTTTACAGTGGGGCAAAAAAGTATTTAGTCAGCCACCAATTTTGCAAGTTCTCCCACTTAAAAAGATGAGAGAGGCCTGTAATTGTCATCATAGGTAGACCTCAACTATGAGAAACAAAATGAGAAAACAAATCCAGACAATCACATTGTCTGATTTGGAAAGAATTTATTTGCAAATTATGGTGGAAAATAAGTATGTGGTCACCTACAAATAAGCAAGATTTCTGGCTCTCACAGACCTGTAACTTCTTCTTTAAGAAGCTCCTCTGTCCTCCACTCATTACCTGTATTAATGGCACCTGTTTGAACTTGTTATCAGTATAAAAGACACCTGTCCACAACCTCAAATAGTCACACTCCAAACTCCACTATGGTGAAGACCAAAGAGCTGTCGAAGGACACCAGAAACAAAATTGTAGACCTGCATCAGGCTGGGAAGATTGAATCTGCAATAGGCAAGCAGCTTCATGTGAAGAAATCAACTGTGGGAGCAATAAGTAGAAAATGGAAGACATACAAGACCACTGATAATCTCCCTCGATCTGGGGCTCCATGCAAGATCTCACCCCGTGGGGTCAACATGATCACAAGAACGGTGAGCAAAAATCCCAGAACCACACGGAGGGACCTAGTGAATGACCTGCAGAGAGCTGGGATCAACATAACAAAGGCAACCATCAGTAACACACTACGCCACCAGGGACTCAGATCCTGCAGTGCCAGACGTGTCCCCCTGCTTAAGCCAGTACATGTCCGGGCCCATCTGAAGTTTGCTAGAGAGCACTTGGATGATCTAGAAGAGGATTGGGAGAATGTCATATGATCAGATGAAACCAAAGTAGAACTGTTTGGTAGAAACACAACTCGTGTTTGGAGGAGAGAGAATGCTGAGTTGCATCCAAAGAACATCATACCTACTGTGAACCATGGGGGTGACAACATCATGCTTTGGGGCTATTTCTCTGCAAAGGGACCAGGACGACGGATCTGTGTACAGGAAAGAATGAATGGGGCCATGTATCGTGAGATTTTGAATGCAAACCTCCTTCCATCAGCAAGGACATTGAAGATGAAACATGGCTGGGTCTTTCAATGATCCCAAACATACCACCCGGGCAACGAAGGAGTGGCTTCGTAAGAAGCATTTCAAGGTCCTGGAGTGGCCTAGCCCAGGGCTTTTCAACTGGTGGTACGTGTACCACTTATGGTACATTAATGAGTGGCAGGTGGGGGAGCCTGCCTAGCCAAGTATAGTGGGGGAGGGAAAGAGCCAGCACAGGCAAGGACTTACAGTGAGAGAGTCCTCTGGAGCTGCAAAGGCCCCAGGCTCACTTCTGGCTCACCCTCCCCCATGAGAAAGGAGGAGGGGGGGCGGAGACAGGAGAGCCTATAAAACATTGGTTCTCAACCTGCGGGTTGGGACCCCATTTGGGGTCAAACGACCATTTCACGGGGGTCACCAAACAACGCAGTCTGCCATTTTCCCCCCTTTTCCTTAGCTGTGGTACTCCCTTTTATTCTATTGGCTTTTGAAAGCCAATAGAATAGACTCTCTTGAATAAATTCTATTGGCTTTCAAAAGCCAATAGGAATTGTCCAGGCTGTCTCTGCCCTGCTGAGCCTGCCAAAAGTCCCATTCTGCAAACGGTGCTGCACCAGTTGAGTAGTCCTCGACTTATGACCGGTTGAGTAGTCCTCGACTTATGACCAGTTGGGGGTCACGGCATTAAAAAGGTTGAGAACCACTGCTATAAAAGGAGGCAGTTTGGGCAGGAGAGGGAGAGAGAAAAAAAGCAGCAGCTTTGGCAGAGTCAGCTGCACCGAAGGGGAAGGAGGGGGAGGGGGTGGGTGGGGGGAGAGGAGATCAAGCAGGCTGGCCATGAGCCGATCTACAACTGCTGTGGCAGCCACCTGTGCTGGCAGCAGCAAACAGGCAAGAAATGCAGCGGGGGAGGGGTCACCCTCCAAGAGGAATGAAAAAAGGCAGCAATGGCTGGAGGTGAGGCACGGAGGAGGGAAGGAGATGGAGAGTGGAAGGATTCTTATGTGTTTTTATGACTTTGAAGTTCTGGGATTTGTGCAATGAGGACTTTGTGTTCTTAAGGAGTGTTTGGCAATTTCTATTTGGCTGATGGCTGATGTCTCATGTTAGCTTCTATTGCTCTGCTGTTGTTAGCTGTAAGTTTTGCTGCAAGGGATTTTGAAGTATTTTTCTCCTGAATGGATTTTGACTGTAGCATTCCTTTACTTATGAATGGAGCCATTTGGGGAGGTTGCCTTAACCAGCAGCCAGTACTTACATTTTTTTTCTTCCTTAAGTGCCTGCTGCGCTCCTTACTTTCCTTTCTAGCCAGTAGCTAATTCTTAAAGGGGAATGTGCCTTTTTAAGCTAGTTCACCCAGCAGCTTGTCTTTTCTGTCTCTGGAGGCCTTTCCTTGTTTGATCAATATATGGAAGAGGGAAAATATGGGAAGGAGATGGGAATGAGAAAAAGGGAGGCAGGGAAGGGAGGGAGGAAAGGAAGTCCTGCCTTAGCACTTGGCCACCAGCAGCTCTGCCATTGACTTTGCTTGTCAAAAGGTTGCAGAAGGGGATCACATGACCCTGGAACACTGTGACCATTATAAATATGAATCAGTTGCCAAGCATCCAAATATAAATCACATGACCCTGGGCATGCTGCAATGGTCATAAGTGTGAAAAATGGTCATAAGTCATTTCAGTGCAATTGCAACTTTGAACAGGTTTTTTTTTGGTCATCAAGTTTTTGATACCTTGCTAGGTGGTACTCGAATATTGCCATATCCTAAAAGTGGTACAATTGGTAAAAAGGTTGAAAAGCCCTGGCCTAGCCAGTCTCCAGATCTCAACCCGATAGAAAAGCTTTGGAGGGAGTTGAAAGTCCGTATTGCCCAGCGACAGCCCCAAAACATCACTGCTCTAGAGATCTGCATGGAGGAATGGGCCAACATACCAGCAATAGTGTGTGCCAACCTTGTGAAGACTTATAGAAAACGTTTGACCTCTGTCATTGCCAACAAAGGATATATAACAAAGTATTGAGATGAACTTTTGATATTGACCACATACTTATTTTCCACCATAATTTGTAAATAAATTCTTTCCAAATCAGACAATGTGATTGTCTGGATTTGTTTTCTCATTTTGTCTCTCATAGTTGAGGTCTACCTATGATGACAATTACAGGCCTCTCTCATTTTTTTAAGTGGGAGAACTTGCACAATTGGTGGCTGACTAAGTACTTTTTTGCCCCACTGTAGTTGGTTTGAAGATTTCTGGATGTGGACTGTTTATCTGTTAATGGCCAAAAGGAGGTCTTCAGATGTTTAGATTTATCCTTGTTCATTTTTCACGTTCTTCAGGAACAGATGAATAGAACTTTACTGTTTATTATATTCTTTTCCCATGGTCATATTATTAGTTTAAAATTCATCCATCAATTCTTGGAAATTTTATATCAGTGTAAGCTACAGACATGAATTAAAACCTATTTACATGTAATTATAAATACCTTGAAACCATATACCCTGGGCCACATTATTATAACTAAGTCAAACTAATAAGTTTGTAGGACACTTTTGAAGAATGTGGTGTATTGGCTGATAGTTCCTAGATGGAGAAAGCTACACATGAAATAATGTTGCCCCTCTGCAGGGACAGGCCAGAGGACTCGTGGTAATTGGCCAAAATATTCTGGGGTTGACGTTTCAGTTTCTATAAAAGAGGAAACTGGGCTCTTTTTTGCAGGATTCTTGAGCATGGACAGGAGAAAGTAGAAATTAATGAGGATGGCTTGCTCAAAGTGGAAGAAGTACAAGGTAAGACACCTGATTTGGAGAAACCACTGAACATAAATGCACTAGAGGGGAGATGAAAGGGTTTTGGCACAAATACCTGCAACAGAGGAAAAGAAGTTACATAACTCATTCTAGTCAATGAAATTTATAGAGACAAGAGGATACGTCATCTTATTATCCAGTGGCCCCTATGCAAGGACTAGACTAGAAGTGGGCCAAATTCTAATCTCCTGGAACTACACGCTGTTCCATGTTCTCCTGCCTAATCATATTTGTCACACTTTCATATCCCTGCCTGAATCTGAATATACAAACACATGTGGCTGATTCCTCATATTTTCCCCACAGCAGTTGATACTGGGAGAGTAGGAAATGCTGAAGTCTAACAGACTTTAAAGCCATAGGTTACACATTTCTGGGTTAGACTGCCACGAGCCAGCTTTCCTTTATCTCTTTCTTGCACCAGAATCAGGACATCCTGTAATGGTAGGTGTATTCTTGTTCTAAAAAGAGAGCTTAGGATTTTTTACACCTGGCTTCTTGTGGGAAGAGGGAGCCCAGTGGTGGTGAACCTATGGCACGGGTGCCAGAGGTGGCACTCAGAGCCCTCTCTGTGGGCACGTGTGCCATCGCCCCAGTCCTAGGCCTTCAGCTGGGTTTCATAAAACCTTTTCGCTTTAGGCCTCTGCTAAAAGGCAGAGGTTCAATCAATCAGTCAATTTCAACTTCTCTCGGGAAAAAAAAGATCTTGCAAAGTTGGAATTGATTGATTGAACTTTTTAGTCCCACCCAGTCTGCTGTTACCACCGCAGCCACGTCCACCCAATGGGCCATGCCCACCCAACTGGCCACATCCACCCAATGGGCCACACCCACCCAGCACCCGACGATGCATAAGTGGGTTTTGAGTTGCAGTTTGGGCGCTCGGTCTTTAAAAGGTTCACCATCACTGAGGTAGCCCTTTCCCTAGTTCTGTTCCTACCCAGCTCGGAATAGTATATTTATTTGCAAGGTAGGCCAGCCTTCAGTGTTGTTCAGCCAAACTAGAGTAGATGGACAGGCTAGGAAAAGGAATCTCAATATTTCACATTTTTATACAAATGCTACTTCAGTCATCTTTTTTTCTATTTAATACTGTAATGTGGAATCGGTATTGGGGTGTGTGTGTGCTAATGGCTTCCTGGACCACATAGGGTAAAATTGAAGGGAATAAAGGAATATTGTTCTTTTCATCCCTGTGCTTTTCTCTTTCAGATCCCAGCAGCAACTTGACAACCCCGATAGAGCCTATCCAGCAGGAGCAACCTGAGATCTTGAGCTCTGCAGCAGACATCTGGGCTCTACCACGATCGCAGAGTGCTGACTTCTCTTATGCCTACCCTACCAATGAAGACAAACAATTGCATCGGGCAATGGCCTATAGTCTATCTGAAATGGAGAATGTGGGGCAGTACTTAGCACTTGCCCAGGGCTCCAAGAAGAGACGGGGTACCACTCGACGAACACACACAAGAACTTTGGGACCTAATGAGGAAGTGGCTTCTGCTCCATTGGCCATCAGAGCCAAGAGTCCAGGTGCAGGAGACAACATTGGGAAAGAGAGGAAACACAAGCCACCTGAACTGCCCAAAGTAGAAATCATTGTCGAGGTACCAAAGAGCCCATCAGTGAAAGACCACACTGCCCTTAATGATGTGCAGTATGTCTTTCCTGAAATTGTTCCTTCCCGCAGAGAGAGAGAATCTATCATGTGCATCATTCTCTGAATTCAAGAATGCAGGAGGGGAACAACCTGTGTCCATTAAAGGTAACAATCTGGCTATCGGTTTCCATAATTGCGTTATTCCCTGGAGTTGTTCTCTAGATGTTCCTCTGCTAAGTTCCTTCTAATTGGGAGTTACAAGAAATGTCTAAACTCAGTGGAATGTATAAATTTAATCTGCATAATTTGTCCAGAACATAGAAGTTAGCATTTCATAGGGTACACATCTAAAGAATTCTCAAAGAAAATGTTTTAGTTAAATCATGGAAGAGTCTGGATTCCTGAAAATTTCCTTCTAACAAAAAGAAAAGAAACAATACCCTTCTGCTGAATGAAACCAAAAGCCTGCCATCTCCAGCATTTTAATCTGCCCCCAATTTATAAAAAGAGAGACATTATTCCCAGGTTGAAGTGTTAGCATTTACCCCAAAATATAGTTTCCACCAATATTTTAAATAAACAGGTTGTTTTAGATCCGCAGAGAATATGATAGTGAAAGCGGGCGACTGGTTTCCTCTTTGATGTTCCTTTTTCAGGGCTCTTAAATTTAGGGTTATCATCTTTTTTCATGTAAGTTCTGTAATTAAATGATGGTGCAGAACATGTGCCTATGACTGGAAACAGGCTGAATAAAAATTCAATGAAACTAGGGAATCTAGCTGAACGTCTTCCTTTTTAAAAAATTTTATTTATTCCTTTTTCACTATACAACAAAAACAAAATACATTTTTCCTTAACAGTACTGTGTTATACATCTCATATATGTTATTTACAATTATTTACATTAGTAATCATATCTTTCTATTTCTCTGTTCTAGCCAATCATAACATTTATTCCATATCTTGTAAAATTCTGTTGCCTCCTTGTCTTTAAGTTCTAGCACAGTGTTTCTCAACCTTGACAATTTTAAGGCATGTGGACTTCAACTCCCAGAATTCCACAGCCAGCATTGGAATGGCTGTGGAATTCTGGGAGTTGAAGTCCACATGCCTTAAAATTGTCAAGGTTGAGAAACACTGTAATCTAGCATAAGCTTGTTCATCTCTGCACATTCTAGTATCTTATAGATAATCATATCAATTGTTAGTATGTTTTCACCTTTCCAACACTGGGCATATACTATAGGAGCCACTGTTAATATATGTACAATAATGTATTGGAGTTCTTTTTTCCATCTTTAAATTTATTATACCCAAAAGAAATAATTCAGGTTTGAGTTCAATTTGCACCTTTGTTATCTCCTGTATCCAGCTCCTTATCCGTTCCCAATAGATCTTTGCTTTAGGGCACAGCCACCACATATGATAGAATGTTCCCTCCTTATTTTTGCATTTCCAGCACTCCGGATTCATATTTTTGTACATTTTAGCCAATCTTGCCGTTGTTAAATGCCATCTATAGAACATTTTATATTGATTTTCCTTATATGCAGTTGACAATGTCAGTTTACAATTTCTGTTCCATTCTCTTTCCCATTCTTCCAATTCTATATTTCGGCCCACATTTCGTGCCCATGCTATCATTGGCCCTTTTACTATTTCCTCCTCCAAATCTACCTCTAATAAATATTTATAAGTTTTTGTTAAAAAATTTCCTTCCTTACCTGTCAAAATTTTATCCAATTGCTGTGGTGTCTGGTTTATTCCGTGTTCTTCCATATCCTTACTATGTTTAGATTGAATCTGTAAGTATGGCCACCAATCTATGATTATTCCGTTCTTCTAATTCTTCTCTTGATATGAGGTTTCCTTGTTTATCTAATAATTCTTTATATCTAATCATCTTTTTTTTATCCAATGTGTTAGGGTGAATCATTGCCTCCATCGGTGAAGTCCAATTTGGGATTTTTATATAGTGTCTCTTTTTAACTTTTCCCCACATCTGAATCAGCGCATCTCTTATCTGATGCTGATAAAAATATGTGTGTGTTTTCTTGTATTTTCCCCATAAAAAGGCATGCCAGCCAGCCTGCAAGTCATGTCCTTCAATCATTAAAACCCTTTTGTTGTCTAGGTTTATCCAATCCTTGATCCAGAGTAATCCAGCTGCTTGGTAGTAAATTTCCCATTTTGGGAGCCCAAGTCCACCTCTACTCCTACTATCTTGTAACATTTTCATGTTTATTCATGCTTTTTTGCCCAACCAAATAATTTGTTTGTAATTTTATCCAATTCTTCAAAAAAAATTTCTCCAATTTTATCGGGACTGTTTGAAATAAATACAATAATTTTGGTAATATATTCATTTTAATCAGCGCAATCCTACCTAATAATGATAATTGTAATTTCCCCCAGGCCTCAAAATCTTTTTTCATTTGTAATATCAATTTTTTATAGTTGTCCTCTTTTATTGAGGAACATCTTGTAGTAAGCCAAATTCCTAGGTATTTGATCTTCCTCTTCTAGTTTCTTTTTCTGTTTTTCAGTTAGGTTTTTTACTAACATTTTGGTCTTCTCTCTATTGATTTTTAATCCTGCCACTATTCCATATTTTTCTATTTCGTTCATTAAAATATTTCCTCTCCCTAGTGGTTCCTCTATAAAAAAAAACCCAAATTGTCTGCAAATGCCTGTGTCTTGTATTCTTCTGATTTAACCTGTAACCCTTTTATCTCTTTGTTAATTCTAATTTGAGTTAATAGCACTTCTAAAGTCAAAATAAAAAGTAGAGGTGACATTGGATATCCTTGTCTTACTCCTTTATTTATTTCAAAGCTTTTTGTATTATCTCCATTAATTATCACACTGGCCTTTTGTATTTTATATATTGCCTTTATCATGTTCTCAAATTTCCCTCCAAATTTCATGTCCTTGATCTGTTGGAACATAAATTGCCAACTGAGATTGTCAAATGCTTTCTGGGCATCTAGAGAAATTAGTGCCACCTGTTTTCCAGGGTGTGCTTCATAATATTCAAAGCATTTAACACCGTTCTCGTGTTATTCCTAATTTGTCTTGTGAGTAAAAAAACATTTTGATCTGAATGTATTATATCATTTAATATTAGTTTCAGTCTTTCTGCAATTATAGTGGTGAAAATTTTATAAGTGTTCAACAACAAGATTGGCCTATAATTTTTTATCTGTTTGGGGTCTGTGCCTTCTTTTGAGATAAGGGATATAGTAGCTTCTATCCAGGAGTCTGGTAATTTGGCTTCCTCCAACACATCATTATACACATCATTTCAAAATCCTCGTAAAGAGTCTTATATACTTCCCCTGGAAGGCCATCTGGCCCTGGGTTTTTATTATTTTTTTGTTTTTGCACCGCGTTTTTTTAATTCCAAGGCTGTTATTTTCTTATTCAATATTTCTCTGTCCTTCTTTTAATTCTGGCAAGCCATTAACCTTTAAGTATTGTTTTATATTCTCTCCATCTATTTCCTTTTTTTTATATAGTAACTCGAAATAATTCTGAATTATTTCTTTCTTTTTATCCATTTTATATTGCAACTCTCCATTTTCATCCTGTAATTCCTGAATAAATCTTTTCTCTTTCTCTTTTTTTAATTTATAAGAGAGTCATCTCCCAGGCTTATTTGCATGTTCAAAAAAATTTTGTTTTGCTGTTTTCAATTCCTTTGCTCTTTCCTCTTGATCTATCATATTTAGTTTATGTTAATCGATTCATCCTGGGGCTCTTTTTGTAATTTAGATTCCAATTTTTTAATCTCCTCCTGGAGTGTATTTTACGTTTGCCTTTTCACCTTATTCTTTTTTTACTGTATAGGCTACTGCTATACCTCTCAAATATGCTTTCGCAGTGTCCCAAATAATTTGTAATGATGTTTGTTGTTTTATATTCTCTTTAAAAAAGAGTTCCATTTCTCTTCTAATCCTTACAATAAATTCTTTTTCTTTCAAAATGTGAGAGTTCAATATCCATCTTCTTCTTACTTTTTTCTGCCCTTTCCAAACTATTTTCAGAGGGTTATGATCAGCCCATGTATTTGGCATTATTTCTATTATCTCTATGTCTTGCCCTACCTCTTCATTCATCCATGCCATGTCTATTCGAGACCAAGATTTATGCGGGTTCGAGATTATTATTATTCTTTTTTTTTATTCCGTTTCCTCCATTGATCAGATAAGTTCATGTGCCAAATCAAAGAACGTCCTTGGTAGTGTTTTCCTTTTCTTTTTATTTTTTATATCACTAATATAATCTTTTTTTTTACATTCACTACCGCATTATAGTCTCCTACTATACAAATATTTCCCTGTCCAATTTCTAAAAGTTTTTCATGTAATTTGTAATAGAATTCTTTTTGATTCTCATTTGGTGCATATATTATCACTAGCAGCCATGATTTCTGCTCAATTTGTAATTCTATTATTAATATTCTTCCATCTGTATCTTGGTACCTCAATTTAGCATTAATTTCTCTTCTAATATAAACCACTATTCCTCTCTGTTTTTGTTCCGCTAGTGCTGTATATAATACTCCTAATTTTGGGAACTTCAAATATTTCCTGTGTTGTTCTTTAATATGTACCTCTTGTAAACAAGCTATGTCTATATGTTGTTTTACTAATTTTGTTAGTATTTGTTTTCTTTTTGTGGGTGCATTTAATCCATCACATTAATTGATATTAATCGAATCTCCTTTTCCATTTTCTACTTGTGTGTTCTACTTGTGTGTTTGTTTTGTTCTCGGACTTACTCCTCTTTCTTTCCTCTGTCCTTTTTCTTCCTTGCTTTCTGTCCCTTGTTCTATTTCCCTTGCTTCCTGCTGTTGGTCTTCCTGGCTTTTGGATTCCAATTCTTCCTTGCTGCTATTCTCTTCCTCCACTCCTTCCAATTGTTCATAGAATTCTCGCGCCTTCTCTAAGCTGTCTATCTTAACCCTTCTCTCCTTCCATGATATCAACATCCCCTCCGGGATTAGCCATCTGAATGGGATGCTTCTTTTAATTAAATACGCACTGAGAAATCTATACTCCCTTCTCTGTTCTCTTATTTTCTTTGGGACCTGTTTTAAAGTTTGTATTTCCATACCTTTATAAATCATTGGATCCTCTCTTGTAATTTTGTAAATTATATCTCTCACTTTTTCCCTAGCGAATCTTATGTGTACTTCTCGTGGAAGTCTGTTGCCTCTGGCATAATTTGTATGAATACTGTACACCTCATCTATCTCTATCAATCTCTCTTGTTTGTCCCTTTGTAAAGCCTCAGCAATCAATTCCACCATGATAGCACCCAAATCTTCTTCCTTCTCCTCTACCACATTTTGAAATCATAGGTAAAATGCCGCCCGGTCCATTTGCAAATGGATGATCGATTCCTCCATTTTTTTATTAGTTGCTATCAGTTCTTTATCTAGTGTGTCAACTTTTTTCCCAACTTTATCCAACCTTACTTCTACTGTCTGTATTCTTTCTTCATTTTTCTCAATCGTTTGTTGAATCATCTCAATTCTATTATCCAATTTATTCATATCCCCTCTCATTTCTATGTGATTCTTAGATATTGTCTCCTGCATTTTTAGCATCGTTTCTTGGATAGTAAGTAGTGTTGCCTGCATGGTCTGCATATTTACTATTATACTCTGTTTTTCTGTACCAAGCATTCCTTCTAATGTTCTTTGACCAGTTGGAGATGAAGGTATCAGTGCTAGGCTTGACACCGTTTTTTTTTTTTTCCTGTCCTCAGTGTTGTCATATTTATCACTTGTTTCTCTAATACTTTCTATTCTAAATGTCACTCTATTTAGCCAACAATTTATTTAACTTTGTTTTAACTCTAAACTTCTAATTCTTCGTTTCCCTTCCTCAACTCCTCTGAGACTACCTCCACTTCCACTATTCCCCAAATCTCTCCTTACCTTCTCCAACCCTCTTCACTTTCTTTCCTCTTTCTTACTTATCACACAGTCTTTCTAAAAGTCCAGATTTCTTCTCCAATCGTATATTATCAATCATTAGTCCGTTTTTATCACCTTATCACGTCCTCTCATCGTCTCCTTTACCTTCTGAACCTCGCCCCCGTTCCTGTCTCCTTCAACGCCGTGCCCCGTCCTCTCACCGTCTCCTTCACTTCCTCTCGCACTCATCACCGTATCCCCCCCTTCAATCCTCTTCACTTTCTCTCTTCCCTCTTAACTAAAGGCACAGTCCCCTCTGCAGAGCTCCAGATTTTCCCTCCGATCTCGTATCTCCTGCCGTCAATCCGTTACTTTTGCTTTTGTCTCCTTGTCACGTCCTCTCGCCGTCTCCTTCACCTTCCAGATTTTCACCACGCAACATTCTCTTTCATCACATAAACATGTCTTCTCATCATCTCCTTGGCTTTCCGAATCTTCTCCACGTTCAGGTCTGTCTCCAACTTTCTTCTCCAATCACTTTCTCCAATATTCTCTAATATTCCACAGCATATTCACTCCTTCTCCGTTTCTCCTAAATCACCATTTTCTCTGCCTTCCCAGCTGCTTGCTTATCGATCTTCTCCCTTCGCTTCTCTTGTCTCACTGACTCCACCAACTCCGCTTTCGCCATTGTCTCTCAACCTCTTCTTCCTTAATCCTCCATCTTCCTTGTACTTGCGCTAAAACATTTACCACAAGGTCTTTCCTTCCTTTATGTCTCCCTCCTGTTAATCCGCTGGTTGTTAAATCTGCCAACTCACAGCTCTTCCCGCCGGATCGCCGCTTACATTGAGGATTCCCTCACCAGTTGAGCTTTCTTTCAACATCCACACTAATAGACAAGTATATCTTTTTAGACTTTTCTATTATTCCTTAAAGATATTTTGAACTATTTTAACTCACTCATTAACACAGTCTGTTAAGTTTCTCTTTGCTTCTGCATCCTCTGTGGTTTGTCAGGGCCTCAGATCCGCCATCTGTTGATGGCAGATATTTCCACGCTGGATTTAGGGGGTTTCCTTCATCGTAGCGGGTGATCGCTTCTCACCTCGCTACTCTTCAGGCTTCACCCTTTCTCACGCGTAGCCCTCCAGGCTCACTATGCCCCTGAAGGGTCTCCAATCGTAGAAAGATCAGAGTTAGGGGACAGAGACTGTCCTCTTGCCTCCGCACCGCCTTGACGTCACCACCGGAAGTCCTAGCTGAACTTCTAAGGTAATCTGGCCTTCCACCATCAAATTCTTTCACAAATAAATGTACAGAATTTATGGACCACATAGACAACATGTACAATTGGTCAGGGTTCTGCTTTTTTAAAATAATTGGTTAGAAAAGGAGTTAAGGTATGATCCTATATCCAGGCCTGCTAAATCTCTTCTATACAATCATTGAAAATGCTGATTCTTTTTAATTCTAGTCATTCTAGAACCATACAGGATGAGTAATTTCAAATTCTTGTATATAAGAAATTCCATTGTAGAACATTTAGGGGGTTTCCTTCCTACAGTAAAACTGTAGATGCAGATTAAAAACAAACAATAAAAATCTGTATAAAGATTGTATAAACTACCAATTATGGTTTCTATTATGCTACGCACTATAAAAGGGAAAATCTGATATTTTATCTATCTGTTTGAAAGAAGGAAAACTATTTCATATTATCAAAATTCCAGAAGTTCAACTCACCTTCAGGAAACGTTTACATTTTATCCACTTGTAAGAGATGCCATAGTTTATTTAGAAAAGGACCATCATTAAGGGTCAAGAACATTAATCTTGAAAACCATTGAGATTTGCTCCCATAACTGTTTCATAGAGATTGTTCTAAAAATAAAAAGAGGCATGTACATTTATATGCTACTGAATTTCACATTTTACTAGGCATATGGAAAATTTGTCACCGATAGAAGCCTTTATCCTGTACATTTGCAATTACTTTTCCATTCAAATTATTAAATTCAAAGAAAGATTGTCCCTATTGATATATGATATATTACATCACTAAAAGATAAATCTGATGATTGAGCTGATACGTAATTTCTGTATTCCATTATACTCTGGAATAAAAACAACTATGAAGGCAGTAGTCCAGCAGACCTGATAATTTCTAATTATCTGCAGTAACCAACAAGGCAACTGTGCACTGTGCAGTGATCTATAATTTATATGAGACTTTCTAATTGTCTCAACATGAAGGTCAGACTGCTGATTTTGAATAAAGCACAATTGACACAATTGACAAGTGAACCCATAGTTGGATTCACACAACACATTAAAATGTCAACAACCTTTATCCAGACACTTTTTTTTCTCAGCTCCCCAGATTTCTGGGAGCATTACAGCTCAGTCCTTCTATTGCTGATTTCAATCTTTCTGCAGAACAAGTTCCCCGTTTTGTTTTTTAATTTTTAAGATTGGGAACTCTGAAGTGTTTGGTCTGACAATACTACCATATCATCTGTAAGAACTAGTTTGGTATTCTGGTGAAAATGCTGTCTTAGAAACCAGGAGACTGACTTCTAGTCCTATCTTAGACATGAACGCCAGTTGGGGGATCTTGGACAATTTACTCTTTCTAGCTCAACCCACCTCACAGAGTTGTAGTAGTGGAGAGAAAAAAAGAGAGGAAGGAATATTAGGTATGATTGTCACCTTGAGTTGTATATAAAAAAAAGCAAGATAAAAATTTAAAAACACCAGTAACAGCAGCAGCAGTAACCCAAAAAGGTGAGTCTCAAATGCTGATTTCTGCCATCCAATCTACTACTGTATTCAATATGCAAACAGATCTGCAGGTTTTCACACAACTCTATAGTCATAAAACAAAATCTTAAGGGAAAAAACTTAAGGATTCTGTCAGACTATCTTAAAAAACGTCAATCTTTTGATTCAGTATATTAGATTGTGTAGACTGTTTGAATGTCAGGGTGATATAAACCTGCTCTAAAATAAATCCTTCTCCCTACTCCTACTGCGCATTATGAAGTCCAGTCGATAGACTTTGGTCCCGGGCAGTAAATTCAGAAGAGAAACTAAAATCGAGATCCGTGCCCGCATCCCATCAATTTGAAAAAAAAGGGGGGTGGGTGGGGAACACCTAATTAAATCTTGACAAGCGCGCAGGCATTTCATTTTTTTGTCGTCGTCCCCCCCCCCGCAAAAAAAGCCAGCGCGGTTTCTGACTACAAATGCTTAGACACAGTGATGCAGCAAGGATGCCCGCGTGCGACGGCCAGGTGGGGCTCCGCGTGTCCAGTCGAGAGAGTTCTAGCGGGCTCTTAAGCAGCTGTTGTCTGGGTCGGGTGGCCTTACCTCATCAGTTCAAAGGGCGACGCTCTGACGTCACAATGGGGCTGCGCGTTCTATTGGTAGCGGGCCCCGCCAATCATCGGGCGGGATCAGGCAGGAGCCGGCCTCTTTCTCACTTGACAGCAGCAGATCGAGGCCGGAGCGTAAGAGGGGGGAAAAAAAATCGCGTTGGGCCGCGCGTAGAGCTGCTCGTGGCCATGGTGGAATCCGGACGGAGCCTCCTCCGGTGGTAAGGTGCGTCCCGGCGTTGGTGCCTCCTGAAAGATGGGTTAGCAATCTGCTGCATCCCTCTCCGCCGCACGGTTGGCCGTGCAGTAGTAGCGTTAGACGGGGCGCCCTCGGGACCTTAGCAGTAAGGAGACCCCTGGAAATGCAGATCTGCTCCCCCTCCCCAAGATAGGAAAAACAAATGCAGCAGCAGTCATCGGTCAATAGAGAATTAAGGGTTCCTGTTTGCAAATCTATTGGCGATGTGACTAAAAAAAATAATAATTCACAGATTCTGGGTGACTGAAAGGATGAGGCCCCGCCTCCCCCCCTTTTCGGAACAAGTAGTGCCAGGGATGGCTCGATTCGGTTCCATTCGATGTGCGCATCAATGGATGGTTACTATTCCCGTGCACTAAAATGGAATGAGGAGCCTCGCCGCTGTACGTACCGTACTAAAGGGGAATATTTTGGTGGAAAGGGGCTGCGGGCCCAAGACAGCTGGCGCCTGGGTTTGGGGTGATGTCCAAATGTATAGGTAAGAAGCCCCAGCAGCCCAAAGTAAATGCTGGGGTGGTTGTTTATTTTGCCACCCGGGAAATCGAGTGCACAGTGCCCAGTCTCATTAGTAGGGAGAAAGGCGGAATCCATTAGAATCCTCGAGAAGCTGAAACGCGATCCGCCTCTAAGGCCGGAAGCTGCCTCTCGGTCCTCTGAAGCAAACAAAAACAAAACAAAAGCAGAGCAAGATCCGCAACTCCCCTTTTTAGCAAAATATGCATTTTTCATTAGGGAAAGCGATACAAGTTCCCTGTGGGAGAGCGTAGGGAGTCCCGGCTCTTTCCGTCTGAATACAGCAGGTTGCTACTCCGTATTGTAAACTGGCATGAGCACGATGGAGCTGCTGCGGAGTATTGGGGTTTTAAAAAAAAAAAATACACATCCCTGAAATGAAGAGTTAATAAGAAAAAGTAACCGGGACGAATTGGAAAGAAAGGGCATGCTTTCATGATTTGGAACATAGGCTTGGTGAGATTGGTAGAATGATTTAATTTCCAGAAATGTAATCTGATAAAATTTGCTTAGATCATGATGACTGGTGACAAGTGACATTTTAAAATTGACATATCAAGGGGTGGCATTTTTTTTTTTTGTAAAAAAAAAATTTATTTTCAATTTTACATTACATTCATAAAAAATACTTCAGATAAAGAGTAAAATAAATTTATACACACAACTTTCGGTATTGCTCACCCATTTTCCCCCAAACCGCATCCACCCTCTAACCTCTTCTCTCACTTCCCTCTTTCCCTCTTCTTCCTCACTCTCCCCCTCTCCTCCTTCTCCTCAACCTTCCTACTTACTTCTCCCCTTCCTCCTATCTTCTCACTCCGGATGCAGTCCAGGGGAAATGCCTGAGCAATTCCTCTTTCCAAATTAAAACATCAATATTATATACAATAAAACTATTTCTACTTATCTGAGCTATTTAACCTCCAACCCTTCCTCCCCCTCCTCCCCCCTCCCCCGACTTCCCAGAGCCAAGTACAGGGTTATACAAAAATATTAAACATGATCTATTTAAGTTTACTAATTATACAATAACCAAAATCATACTAACCCTTAACTCTCTTCAAACTTTAACATCATAATTTTATAAACAAATCCATTACTCATAAAATAAATGAAACTTTGTAATTCCATATTTCTTCTGAACATATTCTATCCATCTTCTCCATACAATAACATATCTCTCTTGTGAATGGGGTGGCATTATTATCATGCCTTTCTGGGAAGGCAAGGTGTTTGGTTAGAGAAGCTGACAGTTCAGCATTTCCACATATTTGAGCCTGGAAAATCATTTCTAGAGCAAAGTAGATGTCCAGGCTGTCATTAGAGCTAAAATATCCATGGACGGAGACAAAACAGACCCTAGCACAGTGGTGGCAAACCTATGGCACAGGTGCCAGAGTTGGCACTCAGAACCTTCTCTGTGGGCACACGTGCTGTCCCCCCAGTCCTAGGCCTTCAGCTGCGTTTTATAAAACCTTTTCGCTTTAGGCCTCCGCCACCATGTGCAAAAAAAAAAAAAAAAAAGGTTCAATCAGTCAATTTCAACTACTCGCAGGAAAAAAAAGATCTTGCAAAGTTGGAATTGATTGAACTTTTTAGTCCCACCCAGTCTGCCATTACCGCAGCCATGCCCACCCAATTGGCAACACCCACCCAATTGGCCACGCCCACCCAATTGGCAACACCCACCCGGCACTCAACGATGCATAAGTGGGGTTTGGGTTGCAGTTTGGGCACTCAGTCTCTAAAAGGTTCGCCATCACTGCCCTAGCATCATTTCTTTGCACACTGCAGGGAACTGGCTATGAGCTCTGAAGCTCTAATTTAATTACAGTGCACCGTTGGGGTATGTGGGGAGGAGGCATAGTGAAGAATTTATAGTGCAAAGGGATGCTGAAGGAGCAATAAAGGGTGGGATTGTTTCTGCTTCTTTTCTAGAGGAGGAAGCCCCCTTTTCTAGAGGAGGAAGCTGTTTCTGTTTCTGTTAGCTCATCACACCAGAGACAAAAAGGTAAGAAAAGAAGCCAAATTTGGGGAAAGGTTGTTTGATTATTGGTTACCAGTATCGCCATCAGATAATAAAAGACTTCTACATCTTTATATGTCATGAGAAAGAAAAGAGTCACGTTCCTTTTTTCTCTAGGCAGTTAAAAGTCCTGGAGTGCAATCTACTTTAAACTATTCTTTGAGGCAGATGAAGTAAGAGAACGCAAAATCTAGGGATCGTCTGAAATGTAGGGTGGGGGCATTTTTGCTTGTTGCCCCATCTATTCAATCTTTACTTATTTTGTAGAAGAGACATTGATGGAAGAGTGGGAAATCATGAAGGAAATATCAGCAAAGAAGAAACAATGTATCTTGTGTCAAATGTATTAACAAAGACGCAAATGAACTAATTCTGGTCATTTTGTTTAGTTTCTGTACTGCAAGGAGTATGAAATGAATATTTTAAATTCAGGAGCAATCAGTTGGGTCTATATGACACTTTCTTGTAGGATGTAACTCCTTTTCAGACTTCTGATTGCAGGTTTGAATGATGAGGCTAGAAGAGTCTAAACCGAGCTGAACTTCCAAACAAGGGTGCAACATTGCTGGAAGTATAGAGGTAGTTCTCATTTAGCAACCGCAGTTGGGACCTGTAAGCAAAGCAGTTGCTAAGTGAACAGCAACTGTGCTTATGACTTTCAACTTTCCTTGGCTTTACAGACCTGCAGAAGGCCATAAATATAAGGCTTGGTCATAACATTACTTTTTCATCACTGCAAATGGTTGCTAAATGAGGCAGTTGCTAAACAAGGAAGGTCTATATTCTCTTCTCCTTTCTGGTCTAGTGTGGTCAGAGCAGCTGTTCTTGTTCTTCCTCCAACCTTCTGTCTCTTAAAGATCTAGGCATACTTCTCATGACTTTATGGACACATCCATGTAGTAATTTCTTCTAGGACAGTGTTTCTCAACCTTGACAATTTTAAGGCATATGGACTTCAACTCCCAGAATTCCACAGCCAGCAATGCTGGCTGTGGAATTCTGGGAGTTGAAGTCCACATGCCTTAAAATTGTCAAGGTTGAGAAACACTGTTCTAGGAGTTTGGACTTCCCAATTTAGCCCGCAGCCCTGGGATTTCCTGAAAGCCTTCTATTCAAGTATTAAATAGGCCCAGCCCTGCTTAGCTCCCAAGGTCAGCCAGGTGCTGCCATCTGTTGAGACATAATTGTTAAACTACTTAATGATACTTAATGAAGAAGATCTGAGCCAACAGCAACCTTCCAGTACTAGAGACTGGGTCACCTTGGTGCTTCTCTGTTCTGCCTTTGAGTTGGAATGGGTCACAGCGAGATCTGGCATTCCCCATCTCTGACCTCCAGGACAAAATTTGACTGGGAAATATGGATGTTTTTTTTTTTTTTTTGAAAGGAACTCCCCATTAGTTGAGGCAATTCTGTGGAGTAGATATTAGATGGCAGTGGCTGAAGTAAACAGAAGCAGCTCCCCAGATGGTGCTAGGTAACCCCATGTTGTTGGGTATCAAGGAGTAAATGATTGTGTGTCTCAATTGGGCACAAGCGGCCAAATTGCAAGTGGAAAGACCGGCTGTTAAACACAGGCACTTTAAATGCCTCCAAAGGGATCAGAGAGGATTGTTATAGGAACCGAAACCAAAATATAGTTTTAGATCCTGATGTGGGCCAAGCAAAACCATTTCAAAAGATTTCTGTGATATGCATCATTTTGCCAATGCAGGTAAGTCCTCGACTTAACAACAGTTTGTTCAGTGACCATCCAAAGTTACAACTGCGTGAAAAAAGTGATATGACCATTTTTTCACACTTATGACTGTTGTGGTATCCCTGTGGTCACATGATCAAAATTCAGATGCTTGGCGGCTGGTTCATATTTATGATGCTTGCAGTGTCCAAGGGTCACACGGTCGCCTTTTGCGATCTGACAAAGCCAAGCCAGTGGGGGAGCCAGTTTCAGTTTACAACTTTATCACTAACTTAACTAAAACTGTGATGATTCACTTAACAACTGTGGCAAGAAAGGTCGTAAATTTTTGTGGGACAAAGTTCACTTAAATGTCTCACTTAACAACAGAACTTTTGGGCTCAGTTGTGGTCGTAAGTTGAGGACTACCTGTCTTTGCACAGCTTTGCCAGAGCCATTTGTTCTGCACTTCCTTTATGCCACAGCACAAGATCAGGCCACCTGTTATTTAAGGAGGGCAAGACAGGTGATATGATCTCAGCCTAACCCCGTAGGGAAAACCTTTTCTCCACGTCAGAAGTGGGGTGTTTCCGCCTCGTGCTGATGTGAGCTCAGCAATCTAGTCTACCTGCTGGGCTTCCTTCTGTCCTACACAAATCCCTCCATACCTATTGGCATGCCCCCAGCCCACCCTCCCTCTCCCCACTCTGCATTTTTGACATCCATTGCCTGCTGGGCTGGCTGCTTTAAAAGGCTGGTTAGTTGCTCAACAGTGTTTTTTCCTTCTTTGACCTGGTGGAAATTGACAAGAGTCCTACCAAGTTTCTCTTTCTAGGGAACCTGAAGGCTGCAGTGTGGAAAAACCCCACCTTAAAAAAAGAGGAAGCCTTATATTAACCAGGGGCAGAGTTGTATATTTTTCCTTTAGAAAAGCAACAACTTTTAGACCTCTGTAACTGGAGATACCATGTTATCCTCTCCCTAAGCCATTAATCCCTTTTAAAGTAGATTGTGGCCCTATAAGAAATTATGGTTCTTTCATTTTGCTGGCCAGATCCAGATGGCATGAGAAGGGATATAAGCAAGGAGTTTGGCTCAGGTTTGGTTTCATTTAAGCATTTATGAAGTTGTATGAGAAATAGTTATTTATGAGTGTAATGTATTCAGTAAAATTCAGCTCTATAGATATTTATGGCTGATATAGGCAATTGAATACAGGTAGTCCTTGACTTACCACTACAACTGAGCCCAAAATTTCTGTTGCTAAGCGAAGCAGTTAAGTGAATTTTGCCCCATTTTCAGTTGTTAAATGAATCACTGCAGGTGATAAATGTAAAGCACCAGGGGACAGGACAAGAAACAATGGATGGAAACTAATCAAGGAGAGAAGCAGCCTGGAATTAAGGAGAAACTTCCTAACAGCGAGGACAATTAACCAGTGGAACAGCTTGTCTTCAGACATTGTTTGTGCTTCATCACTGGAGTTTTTAAGAAGAGACTGGACAGTCACTTGTCTGAAATAGTATAGGATTTCAGGCTTGAGCAGAGGGCTGGACTAGTAGACCTCCAAGGTCCCTTCCAGCTCTATTCTGATTCAGGCGTTAAGTTACTAATATGGTTGTTAAGTGAATCTAGCTTCTCTATTGACTTTGCTTGACAGAAGGTCGCAAAAGATGATCACATGATCCTGGGACACTACAACAGTCATAAATATGAGTCAATTGCCAAGTGTCTGAATTTTGATCACAAGACCATGAGGATGCTGTGAAAAATGATCATGTCACTTTTTCAGTGATGTTGTAACTTTGAAAGGTCACTAAATGAACTGTTGTAAGTCGAGGACTTATTGACTGTATTGTGTATGGGCTCCAGTCTGAACCACTGTATCTCCCAAAGGGCTTCACGGGCTATCTGGTGACTATGGGCTGTCACCCAAAATGGCATGGCTGACATTTCAAAACTTTCGTAGCAGTTCTGAGGGTGAGGATTGGAATGCACTTGCTTTGCCCTTTAAAGCCACCCATGAGCCACAAGCTGCTTTTCAGCTTCTGGGTGAGTTTTATTTGGAGAATGGAAACAGGCGGCATCCCAGAGGCAAACTCTTCTCATTCCCAAGTTTGGGACTCCTGTCGTCTTGTATCTCATCACCTTATTTCATATGTGACAAGTCCTTCATTATTTATTTTATTTTATTTTATTTTATTTTATTTATTTATTTATTTATTTATGAGACTTATATACCGCTTTAAGTGCGAGCACTCTGTCTCGGTGTACACCAGTAAGCAATGTATATATATATTTACATTGCCCCCAACAATCTGGGTCCTCATTTTACCTACCCCGGAAGGATGGAAGGCTGAGTCAACCTTGAGCCGGTGAGATTTGAACCGCTGACCTGCTGAACACAGTCAGCTAAAGTGGCCTGCAGTACTGCACCCTAACTGCTGCGCCACCTCGGCTCTTGAGGTAATAGTAATCATCATCATCATCATCATCATCATCGAAGTCAAGAAAAAGATTAGAAGTGAATACATGAAGAGAATGAAGAAGATCTTAAAGTCCAAACTCAATGGAGGAAATACTATAAAGGCAGTCAACACCTGGGCAATTCCAGTCATCAGGTACACAGCTGGAATAGTGGACTGGACTCAAGCAGAACTAAAAGCAATGGATAGGAAGACCAGAAAAATAATGACACTGAATCATGCCCTTCATCCACCCAGTGACATTGACAGACTTTATCTACCAAGGCAAATAGGTGGGCGTGGAATGCTACAAGTACATCAGATGGTTGAAGAAGAAAAAATGGCTTTGGAAGAATATCTGAAGAACAATGATGAAGATGCACTGAAATTAGTATATCAGGAAGGCTTACTGACTACTGGAGAGACCAAACTGGCCTACAAGAAAGACCAAATGAAGAACAGAATAGAGGCATGGGAAGACAAAGCACTACATGGCCAATACATTAAAAAAATAGCTGGGAAAGCAGATAATAACAAGACCTGGCAATGGCTAAGAGCAGGAAAATTGAAGAAAGAGACCGAGGGACTAATTCTGGCTGCACAAGACCAAGCCTTAAGGACAAATGCATATAAAGTCAAAATTGAGAAGACAGCAACAGACAGTAAGTGCCGCCTATGCAAAGAAGCTGAAGAAACAGTGGACCACCTGGTAAGCTGTTGCAAGAAGATTGCACAGACTGACTACAAGCAGCGGCATGACAAAGTAGCAACAATGGTGCATTGGAAGATCTGCAAAAAATATCATTTGCCTGTAAGCAAAAACTGGTGGGATCATAAAATAG